ATTTTGACCTTTTCAATTAAACTTTTTTGCTAAATTCTTTGGCAGTATTTTGTCTGTAATAAGAGTTCTAAAATTTGTAATATTAAAAATGCATCTACTTACTCATTTAAATTTAACAACCATTAGGTATTATTATTATTTTTTTATGTGGTATAACTCACTATGAAAACTATAGGAATTACACTGTGCGTCATTTTTAAAATATGGCATTAACCAAAGGATAATTAAAGGTTCATGTAAGTTTTATATACAGAAAACATTTGGCACTTCAATGGTTTTTTAAAGTCCCATTAACTCGATACTGGAAATTGCCAAATATGGGTCTTTAATGGTAAATATACAAATATTTGCCTGAAAATGGCCATTGCAAGACCTTATCACGACAGCCTTTTATCAAAATTAATATTTTTATTAAAACATTCCTGTAAAGGCCCAGTACAAGCAAAGCTTTTGCCAAAAATGCCATTATTAAGCCATAAAACTAAGCTAAACTTATGTAATGGGCCATAACATGATTAGATTTATGTGTTTGCTGGGGAGTGTTAACAATAATTAAGCTTAAATTATAGAACGCTTGATGATAATAATACCTATATTATTATATAAGAGATAATGCGCATAATTATCTACTCCAATAAGTAGATACGTAATTAAATGATTTTTAAAATAAATAAATAAAATCTGTCAAATGCCGATTGTTTCAAATTACAGTGAATATTGAAATCGGCCAATCACTAATGCCTAACAACGTAAATAATGAGTTCGTTATTCCCATTGTTAGGCAGGAAATTTATAATGTGTATCATTATTCATGAAAAAAAAACAATATTATACAATAGGAGTGGATAAAATATATTTTTGTCTTGACCTATGATGTTTAAATGCTTTCAAAATTCTTAATTGTTTTGTGGACATATTTTTTGCCTAATACGAGTACATTTAGTGTTGTTTTTGTTAATACCCAGCAAACATTAAATCGTCGGCCGATGATCGGATAAAAGTTGGCAATTGAATTGGTTTTAGTCGTTTTCCAGAATTACAATGATTTTCGGTTAAATGCCTGAAAATAATCAAGAAAGTATCGTCGGCAAAATATTTGAAAGATATCGTTATTTATGGTTACGAGGTGTGTTCAGAATTGTTAAATTTCGCGGGTTCGGAGGGTCCGGTTGTCATAAAATTTTCTTTATTATGTTGGTATACATGCCCCCGAAGTATGATAAAAACTTTAGCTGTTTTCATTGTTTACTTTGTCTGTGGCAGCCGCTAAGGTTAGAAGTGTTTTTATGAGCTCGGCGATTTTTGTTCGTTAAAAGAAATGGATCAAAGAATTTGTATCCAATTTTGCTTATAAAATAAAATAAATTCTGAGAAATGTTAACAAAGGTAAGTCTTCTATAAGTAAAACAAGAGTTTACAAGTGGTATAAGAGTTTCCAAGATGGCCGTGAAGACGTTGAAGATGACGAACGCCCCGAAAGCCCAAGCACATTAACAACCGATAAAAACATAGAAAAAGTGGAAGAAATGGTTATAAACCATCAGAGAAGTCGCTGATGATTTGGTATATCGTTTGGCTCATCCCATGAAATGTTTTCGAATGTTTTGGATATGAAACGCGTGGCAGCAAAATTTGTTCCAAAATTGTTAAATTTTGAACAAAATTTTTGGCCAAAAACAATACTGTAATGATGCCCCAGCCTCCATATTCGCCTCCATGCCTCTGTCTGACTTTTTCCTATTCGCAAAAATAAAGAGAACCTTAAAGGGCCGTCGTTTTGCAAGCATAGATGGCATTAAAAGCGCATCGCTGAAAGAACTAAAGGCTATCCCAAAGATCGAGTTTTAGAAGTGTTTCGAGTATTGGAAGAAGAGCTGGCACATGTAAATAATATCCAATGGGGAATATTTTGAAGGCGACAACATTAATGTAGACAAATAAATAAATATTTTTTTCAAAAAACGAAAATTTCCGATATTTTCTGAACACCCCTCATATATATATATATATATATAGTGTGTCCCGCTTGAGACCTTACCACCCTTGTAAAATTAGCATTTTTCAACCGATTTTCGTAAACTTTTTTTTGTTGGATAGATCTCTGAAAAAGGCTTTAATCGCAGATGTCACTTTTTTTGACGACTAAACTCATGGATAACTGTGATCTCTTTTTGGGGTCGAAATTTCGAAAAGTACTATTAGGGATTTTTTCAGAGAAAGTAACCACGGATTATTATTCGGGACCACTTATAACCCCACTATACCAATTTACCAGTCTAAATTATGTAAAGCCTTTACATAATTTAGACTATAAGGATCACAAAACTATTAAGAACATCATTTATTTATTTATCTCTTAGAGACTCAGCCTCCTTTCCTGTATTGGGATTAATGTATTTTGATGTAATTCAATCTTCAATTGTCCTATGGTATTATTTTTGCGTGACTAGTCATATAAGCAAGATTTACTTTGTAGTTTTGTTTTACTGATGAATAAAATTATTATTAATAATATTATTATTATTATCTTAAAATAATTAAGTTATTATAATGTTTTAAATAATCTTTTAGATTTTAAGAATAACAATATTTTAAGTTAATTAAATTTGTGTGATATGGCTTATCCTAAATAAATATTATTCTTAACATTTTTATCATTTAATTCTATTTTTTATTAAAATGTTTTTTTCTATGGCTACTTATAACAATAAAATATTTTTTTTATGGAAAAACCATTTAACAGAAAATATTTTCAAAAATGTTACACATACAAAAATTTAATACACCTACTTGATTACAAAATATTTAATTTGAAATTTACATAAAATAAATACATAAAAAAATTACGAAAACTAATCGCTCAAAACGTCCTAAGAAAATTGTATGTTATTTATTACTTGGAAAAACTGCAATTTGATGTAAAAATATCAAATCATGCAAACTCTGCTAAAACATTATCATCAACCCAATTTGAATTATTTTTTTTTTCATAATTCAATAAATCGTGTGACGTTTTTCCATGGAGAAGAAATATCCATTTAGAGCAATTATGCGGAAGTACATACTGTGTTTTGATTTGATAATTATTTTTCATAAAAAATAATTTGTACAGGAAACAAGCCTGCAATTTTCAAGAAATACTCTCTTGGTGTATTTACCTAAAAGTACATTCCTGGATAGTTTTAATTGTGGTCAAACTTATGGTTTACACATTTTACTTGTGACATTAAGGTGAAATGTTGGTTAGTAATAAAGTTGCAAAATAGTATATTATGCATCAAGTTTTACAAACGCCATTTTAGTTACGAGCGAAGCTTGCGAGCGAGTGTTTAATAATAATAATAATAATAATAACAACAAAATAGTCTGAATTGAATCCATTATAGCAAACAAATAATTTTCTAATAATAAAAACGAGTATCTAGAGAAGCTTATAAAACGAGTTGCATACTATACTTTATCTACGACGAACACAAAGGATAATTTAAAGCCAATTTTATTTGTTAAACATTTGACATCTGTCAACTTTTAACGGATTAAACCTTACTTTCCCCAATTTATAATAAAGCCAACTTCAGCCCGTGACTAAAATGCCCAAAAGCCACTGTTGCTAACTTCAGCCCGTGACTAAAACGCCATAAGGTCACAGCTCGTCAATATAAGAACAGATAATAGTATATTATGTATCAAGTCTTATACTCCATTTTAGTTACGAGTTTTATTAAGCACGAGCGAAGCTTGCGAGCAAGTGTTCACTAAGAACGATGGCCTAGAAAAGTTTATAAAACGAGTTGCATACTATACTTTATCTAAAACGAACACAAACAAGAATTAAAAGCCAATTTTAATTTTTTGAACATTTGACATCTGTCAGCTGTCAACGGATTTAACCTCACTTTTATAATAAAGCTAACTTCAGCCCGAAACTAAAATGCCTAAAAACCACTGTTGCTTCAGCTTCAGCCAATGATTAAAACGCCATACAGTCATAGCTTATCAATGGGGAAGTAGATAAAGGAATATGTCTTCAATGTTTTGACATTAAAATTGTCAAAAATATTCTTCTTTTATTAGGCTATACATTAAATAAAAAAACGCAAGAAATATATAAAAGTAGAGATAATTTTAATAATTGAAAGGTGTGGATGGGACAAAAAAAGTTTATCTTGTCCTGTCCACACCTGTCAATTATTAAAATTATCTCTACTTTTATAAAATATTTCTTGCATTTTTTTATTTAATGTATAGCCTAATAAAAGAAGAATATTTATGACAATTTTGATACCAAAATATTATATAATAAATTACCTACAATTTTTTTTATAAAAACATTTTTGTGATTTGTCCCGTCCGCATGCCTGAAATGGCCCAAGTGCAAAGTCAAAAATCTGTTTTGAGTTTATAAAACGCGATAGGTAAATAACTAAATTTTCTGCATACAACCATATTCCTTTGAATGATGTGTGCTAGAATATAGCAAGCTATAGCAATAGCAGCGTTAAAAATTATTTTTTTCTACTCCTATTACGGAATTTGACCGTTCTAATATCACTTTTATCTATGGAATGACATATATTCCGTAAAGTGTTACAGAATAAAATATTCTATGATCGGATGACAGAATAAACACCGATCCAACCTCACTTTCTTTCAATTAAATTATTTTTCTATGGTATTTTTTCGAAACGTAGAAAAAATATAGTCGTTTGGAATTGCATATTCCGCTCTCGTGAAACCGTCAAACTCGCCTTCGGCTCGTGTGACAAACTCTTCACTCGAGCGGAATATGCTGTATTCCAAACTTGTTACAGAATATACTATTCTTGTAAAATGTCAATAAAACTTTAAATAAACAGTAGATATTATATGCATATATATTTTGTATAGTAATTTATTAATCTACGTACATTTTCTAATCCAACATACTTATAGAAAACATAAGTGGTAGTTCAAAGTCAAAATAAACAAATATTTACTTAAAGCTATTTATTTATTAAAAACGAATTCTTGTATACAATTTACAATGTTGAATTAATAAATATATAAATTCATAACCCTAACAACTTGTACAGTATCAGAAATTATAATAATAAAAAAAAAATAATAATAATATTGATATCAATTACAATACATTTACAATAAATTTGTCTCTATCTTACTTGTTGTATATAGGTATCTCTGTATATAGGAAATCTAAACTATAGCAATATCAGAACAGGACCTAAATACTTCTTGCGGACCACAACCATCAGCACCTGACCCGTCCTCGCAAACACCCCAACTGTTGCCTAAAAAATATGTTTACAATTTGAAGGAATTTCTATTTGTTTTTAAATTCCATAGAACGTAAAAATAAACAATTGATTTCGATTATTTTGTACATTCTATGAGAATGAATCACAATGCTTTATTATTCAAAAAATTAATAATAATAATAAATATTTACCAGTATGGTAGTGCCATCTTAGTACACATCTGTCACAGGTGATATTTTCAGGCAAAACCACTTGATTTTCGACATGAAAATCCAAAGGATATATTTGAAATATATCAGAACCATTGGCAAATTTCAAAGGCTGGAAGCATTCCTCTCCCGATTCTGGGGCATTGGGATCTTCTAACTTACACAAACTATAAAAAAAGTATTAAAATAATGTATTTTATCTACTCCTATTGCATAATATTGATTTTTTCGTGAATAATGATAAACATTAGAAATTCCCTGCGTAGCAACGGGAATAATGAACCCATTATTCACGTTGTTAGGCATCAGTGATTGGTCGATTTTAATATTCACTATAATTTGAACAAATCGGGTTTTAACCCTTTAGCGTTCCTTGGTATAAACCTAGTACCACCCTATTTGTTCAATATTTTTACCTTGAAATCTGGGTATTATGCATCCCAAATACATCATCCTTTAATATGTGTTGCTCTATGTTATCAGTCGATTTTAAGATTTGTTCGGGTGCGGTTCTATTTTAAAAAGTGGTACACCATATATACCAGTGAGATTTCAAAAGCATTAATTTTGTAGATTTAAGTGTTTTCAATTTAATTTTCATTAATATTTATAAACCAGAAGAAATTTCGAAGAAATAAATAAGTAAGTATTATCTATAAATTTATAATGAACAACTAAAACTTAAAATTTCTAGTGCCGTACTCAGATTTTTAGTAAAAAAATATACATATTTATGAACTGGAATTAATTTTGAGAATTTTGTTAACATTTTGAATCCTTTTTTCTATAAGTTCTAATCCTAGTTTAAGATTCATATTTTAATACATGCTTCATATACATATCTTAATAAAATAACCATCAAGTTTTCATCCAGTTCTTTTTGCGCTAGGAAAATTTTGCCTAATTTCCATTTGAATGTAAACGATTTTACTAATGAAAATAATGTTTTGTGGTATGATAGCGATAAAAATAAATCATAAATTGTACTAATTGTTTTCATAATATTTTTCTAATTAGTTTTTGGTTTTGTCAATTTAATTTTCACATTATCTGATTATTAGAAAAAATGCAGGGCCGTATTTAGGACCATAAGGGCTATAATTAGAACATACAATTGAAGTTCAAAAAAATCTATGAGTATGAAAATACCAAGTTATGTTTTTTTTATAGAAGAATGGATAAACAAAAATTTAGGGATGAGTGGTACTGGAAGAAACCGCTCACTGAAGAGGAATTATATCAGCTGGCTGAGATAACTGAGGACCAAGCAGAAAATTCGGATATCGGGAGGGATTCTGATGCGGATGACCAATTTGACGTTCAGACAACAGGATCAGCTGATACACCCTACTCAAGTTTTTTATCTGCAGATAGTTCCTCTTCAGTAACCCCGAGTCTATCAGACAGTTCCAAAAGATCAACAAGAAAAAGGGCAAAACTCGCCCTTTCAATTAATTTTTCGGATTATGATTCAGACGATTCAATTGCTGACAAAACCTATACGCCAGATTCTCCAATCCGCTTACAATATAGAATATCTTCTGATAGTGACGAAGAAGTGAATGCTTTGGTCTCTACCATACCAATTATTAACTTTGTAAGATTGTTTGTTCATTTATTATAGAGTTTGGTTTTATTTTTCTTTATTTATTGTATGTTTGGTTTTTGTTATAAATCTGTTCATTTATTATAGAGTTTGGTTTTATTTTTCTTTATTTATTGTATGTTTGGTTTTTATTATAAATTTGTTTAAAAGCTATTGTATTTTTAATTCTGATTTCATTTTATTATTTTATTATTGGGTTATTAAAGGAGATGGTATAGGGTTTGTACCAGAGAACACAGCCCACATATTTAGTCCTAAATGGTCTCTGGTAAAATGGTTTACCGCCTAATAAAAAATAAAAAAATATAGAAAAATTGATTGCTAATTACATATTATCTTTTCTTGTCTCCAGAAGAATGCATAATTAGCATTTTTTATATAAAATAGTATTAGGAAAATTTTGCCCGTTAAAGGGTTAAATTGGGAGAAGGCGACTATATTAACATTTAAAATGTCAAATTTTATTTAATTATTTATAAAAATCATTATTACACTCGAGATTATTCGCATTATCTCTCGTATAATAATATAATATTATTTAACTTACTTTTTAAGAAAACATTAAATTAACCGTCATAGTAATGATAAATACTACCGTGGAGAAAAGTAAAATCTCTTCGTCTTATTGAACAGTTACCCGTGGAGAAAGAGATCAATTTTCTCCACAGTTTAAGACACTTCTCAATTTAAAACGTATAAGAAATGTAATATTATAAGAAAAATAATATTTTAAATACTGCACATAGTTTAACATAAAAAAAAATTTAATTATAATTATTTACCTGTAAGAGAAGTCGCCCAAATGATTTGCAGTGATTAAAATTGATATATTTATGACACTTCCAGATTCATATGTCCTTACAACTTTACCCTGACCAAATATACCGGTATTTTCATTACGTTGGGGGTGAGGTTCATTTACTGGGTCACCACAGACCCCACATTTACCATCGTTTAACTCCCATTGATACTATAAAAATCAAAATATATTATAATATAATATAATATTTTAATTAAACTTTACACTTACAGAAAATCCCCCGCAAAAATTGGCATTATCATCGTAATTTTTTACTGATGTCTCGTCAAATCTCCATAAAGAACTCCTGTTTGGAGGTTCCAACATCATACCATGGCCATTGATACCATAAATAAAACCAAAGAGTAAGAATACCAAAGATAGAGCACTGACTTGAGACATTTTTTATTAATGCTAATATTGTATTAGTGCGTTAACAAAAAATTACTCATTATTTTTTTAACGCTTGTTTAGAATATTTATACCAAAATTCTGGAAACACCAAGATAATCTGATAAGATATTTTGCAAAAAAGATTAAGATTTTTAAATATTTTTCACTAATCTACAAGTATTATTATAATAAAAAATGAGTAATTTTAATTTAAATTCCGTGACACTTCTACTTACGGGCGATATTAATATAGGGCAAATACATATGTGAATTTGCTTCTAATGGTTTTTTATCAAATTTTATAAAAAATATAATGTTTAGGTTATTTTTCAGTATTTCAAGTGAAATTCAAAAAAAATATATGTTTTGTTAGGTTATTTTTCAATATTTTAAGTGAAAATTGTAATTTAATACCTTCTCGTCAAGAAGAAAGAAATATTGTATTTTATTGTATTTTATTCTAGTATATTTTAATTGTTTAGTGTAAATGTAAGATTGTTTTTCTTTTAATTAATTTTTACTTTTTATTGACTAGTCTTATAGACCAGTGCAGAAGCCTTTAAAAATGGTAAAAAGAGAAAAAAAATAACAGTAGGATAAAACCCATTGGAAAAGGAGGGGAATTTAATAAAAATTAAAGGAAAAATAAATTACGGGTGATCTGAGTTCGGGAAGTGGGAGGGGGGGGTTTAAGGGTAAAAAATTGTTTATCTCAATTTCCGGCAAAACTACAATTCCTATGGAAAAAAGTTAAATGTCAAAGTTGTAGGTAATAATAAAAAGATTGGTTTATCTCTCTCCTATGGAAAAAAGTTAAATGGCAAAGTTGTAGGTAATAAAAGGATCTACAACTTTTGTAATTATAATTTTTTTACATAACCTCAAAATTTATGTGAAAAATTCAAAAAACCAAGTTTTTGGTTTTTTATTTTTATCTTTTTAAAAAAAAAAATTTTTTTCACGAAATTTGGTGAAAACTTACCTTTTTATGTCCCAAATACACTGTAATTTATTTGATTTGAAATATTTATTATTTCGCCTTATTTTGACTTAATATCAAAAAAGCACCCTAATTTTCAATCGAAAATTCTCGCGTCAAAATATCAGCTTTTTTCAAAAAGTCGGTGTGCTTTTTGTTCGATGAACTCTCTACTTTCTGATGGTGTAAAAAAAATATACATTACTATGGTAAATGTTCTCAGAAAATACAAAAAATATTATAATGAATAACGTAATCAGAATGAAGTATCTAAATTCAATAGTATGATTTAGGTACATGTATTTTTATATTTTATGAGATTTTCTGACATAAATGTTATTAGAATTTAATTAATAAACTTTTTTATTAAAAATTTTTTTTTTGAAAAAGATAAAAATAAAAAACCAAAAACTTGGTTTTTTGAATTTTTCACATAAATTTTGAGGTTATGTAAAAAAATTATAATTACAAAAGTTGTAGATCCTTTTATTACCTACAACTTTGCCATTTAACTTTTTTCCATAGGAGAGAGATAAACCATTTTTTACCCTTAAACCCCCCCCCTCCCACTTCCCGAAGTCAGATCGCCCGTAATTTATTTTTCCTTTCATTTTTATTATATTCTTCTCCTTTTCCAATGGGTTTCATCCTACTATTATTTTTTTTGGTTTCAAAAATTATCGACCCTGGTCTATTATAAGCAAATTGTGTTTTGTAATTTGTTTTATGGATGAATAAATATTATTATTATTATTATTATTATTATTATTATTATTATTATTATTATTATTATTATTATTATTATTATTATTATTATTATTATTATTATTATTATTATTATTATTATTATTATTATTATTATTATTATTATTATTATTATTATTATTATTATTATTATTATTATTATTATTATTATCCCATTTTCCACCATTCTTGTCCAGACATTCACTTTTTGCCGGTATTGGGAATGTGCCTTTACCCGATGAGGATTTCCTCTGCTTCAGTACCTTCAATTTTAACGGTTGTCTGTACCATTTAAACAGAAAGTAGCTTCGTCGAAAAAAAATATTTTACGAGGAAAGTGTGAATTATTGTTACATAAATAGTCTAGATCATCTTCATTAAGTTCCTGTACTAGTCTAATTTTGTATAGATGGTACTTTTCTAAATTCATAAGACGTAATACTGCGGGTTGGCTGACTTGACTTTCAGCTACAACTAGGCTAGGAGCACTGTGAGGAACTTTTTCACACGTGAAAAAGTTTCTTCACTGGGACGGCCAGGTTTTGAAATATCTTTAACAAGTCCATTCTCTCTAAATTAACGTTCAATTTTAATAAACGTAGCACGAGTAATAGGTCGAACTGGATACTTTGCTTTATATAAATTGTTTTATTCTAGTTTTATTGCCATAACCAATAAAAATTAAAACTTCAATTCTCTGTGTTTCCCCTAAATGACCCATATTTAAATACCGAAATATTTGGAGAACGCTTAAGAGACACATACTTTATTGAACGCTTAACTAAAAGTTTTTACATCTAGTAGTAAATATATGTTTTAAATTATATGCTAATAAAGAAATATATAATAAAAAACGACATATTTGTAAAATAACAAAAAACAATAATAAACTGTAAAAGACTTTGAAATGAAATATTTTGAGAAAGTTTATGAACATTTCTTCTATAAAAACTTTTTAATTTTATTAAAAAGTCTATTTATAAAAACCATAAAACATCAAAACATTATTAAAAACTAACTAAAAACTATAAATTTAATAATTTATATCTCCGAAACTATCAGCCCAAAAGGTATAAATGTTTTTACTGGCAAAACATTACTCTGAATATTTTTATTGTTTTAAATAACTTTAAATCATATAGAATATAAAATAATAAAAAATTTGTTTTTAAAGTTTGCAAAATAAACTTTAGGCATAAAATAGACTAAACATACGTTGACCCAAATTTTATCCGATATTTTCTTGTAATATTCACTTTTGGGGTATTATTGTACCATTTTGTGAAACGCCAAATATAAATATTTTATGTAATCCCTATAAATGACTTAATTTTTTTTTAATCTTACATTTCCAATATTTTTACACTGAAAAGGCAAGAAAACAAAAAATACTGGTTCTAACAAGTTTAGAAATAAAAAAATTGTGGGCGCTTATTTTATAATGTTTTACTAAAATAAATCAATATCATCATCTAATTTGAAATATTTGTATGTAATTTTTATAGAGAGAATTGTGTTTGTTTACTATATAACATTATATTGAAGTATCAAAAAAAAACAGACAAACACTAATTAGTTAAAAAATCAAACATGTGTTGTTTCTTATAAATAGTTACGAAAAGTGTTGAAAGTGCAATTTTATTTCTAAAATGGATAGATAGGATAAGCCTTATAAATGGACTATCAATATTCCAGTCAATAGCTCAGAAAATATTTTTAAAATAATAATACGAAATATTTACAATTTTGCATGTTACTAAACAAAAAATTATTTGCAAAAATGTAATCCCGGCGCATTCGCCATTTATAATTATCAGTTTTTAATATTTACTTTAAAAAATAATTTTAATGATAAAAACGTCAAAATAAATCATGTATTAAATGCATTCATATATTTTTTAAAACACCATACATAATATTTAATAAATTAATTTGTAATATGGTTAATTCCTTAAACAATAGCGATATCGGCACAGTTCCTGAACACTTCTTGAGGTCCACATCCTTTACCACCTTTTCCATCTTTGCAAGTACCCCAGTTATTACCTTAAATAAAATATATTTATAATATATTAATTAAATGTGGAATTTTCCCTACTACAATAAGTAATTATAAATTAAGTAAATAGAACAAAAGGATTAAGATTTCAATCTTTATTAATGAATAAAATAATAGTTGCCATCCTGATAAAAAAACACTTACCGACTGTCCAATTCCATCTGAGAACGCATCTTTTACACGTCATATTAGGCAAAACAACCTTGTTGTAGACTTCCTTATCCTCAGGTTTAACCTTGTAACTAGCAGAACCATCGGCAAGTTTTAAAGGTTTAAAGCAATGTTCTCCAGCTTCGGGTTTATTGGGATTGTCTAACTTACACAAGCTTAAATAATGCAAATATTATAGTTATTTAGGATTAATCATTAAATAGTTTTATATTTTATTTACTTGACAATATTTAGTGCATTTTTTTATTACTTTTTTTGATTAAGACTTTTTGTAACGTTTTGATAAAATGATTTTTTTAAGTGACCTAGTCTATATTGTTCAAAAGCAGTTTTTTAAATAAAATAACAATTTTAAATAGTTACCTATATGTGAAGTGTCCAATATGGTTGTAAGTTATTTTAATATGCACATCGATGGTACTTCCAGGTTTGTATGTTTTTGCTATTTTCCCCTTGCCATATTTACCACCATTTTCATTTTCTTGAGGATGGGGGGATTGTACTGCATCTCCGCAAACTCCACATTTACCATTATGAAGTTTCCATTGATTCTATTTTATAAAAAACATATAATAACATGTTCTGTTTAAATTTTTCATAAACTTACATCAAATCCTCCACAATTAATGCCCATATCAGAATAATTAGGTTCTGCCGATTTGTCAAATCTCCATAAGGAACTTCTATTGGGTGGTTCCAACATCATGCCATGACCGGCTATACCATAAATAAGATTGGTAAGAACAAAAATTGAACACAAAATAGAAAAACGAGCCATTTTATGATATTATTTCTAATACTAGATTACCAAGCCCTTTATTAGACTTGTATGTCTTTCAGTTTTTTTGCGTAAATATATATAGTCTATACAAAAACCACTAAACCAATTAGATTCCATAGTTTTTAGAATTTTTAAAACCAAATTTATTTGCATGTAATATCAAATAAATGCTATAATATTCACGTAATTGCTCTATGGAAAATATTTTGTTAAACAATATATGCTTTGATATTATTATTTTTATCTTCAAACCACAAATATATGTAGGTATTATATTTAAACATTTATGTAGGTAGTGACTAATTTAATTAATTTTTACAATGGATTTCTTGTAATTTATATCATCTAAAGTTCCCAACCAGCGCACACATAGGGGAAGGTGGGGGAATTTTGCGCGGTGGGTAATTTTACGCATAAACATTTCTTCCAGATATGAAGTAAATAATACATTTTTTGAATTTTGCAAACTTGGAAACGTTGCTTTGGGTATACGGGGACTAAAGTGTACCGCAATTAAGCTTGTAGCTTTTAGCTAGTGACGATGGTCACTAGCTAACTGTAATACATGTACGTTGATCTAAGAAATCCATGTCGTTTCCGCTACGAATTAAATTTAAATTTCTGTCCAATCGCTTAAATGTTTATAACACAACTTTATATGATCTTTCCTCGTAATCTGGTGTATGTATCACAATATTTTTCTTGCAATGGGGGTAATTTTACGCTGAAAAATTGGGGTAATTTTGCGCTGCAAAATTTGGCCAATATGGGAGCTTTGGTACAGGAGCCTATAGATTGTTCAGCATAAACAGTTTCATTTGGGCACACGCGGAGTGTAGTTATTTATTTTTGATTTTGTTTGTTTTGTTTGTTTCATAGAGAAAATAGTTTTGTTTTATTTTTATGTTTTAATATAATAATATTATAGAAATAACGGTTTATTTAGGTACCTACAAATCTTTCTCTATACAGCGCAAATTTTCCCCCTATGATGCGCAAAATTACTCTGATAGGTGGGTAATTTTGCGCAAATGCATTATTTAAAAAAATGTAGTTTTTGCATACCAAACAATTTTTTTTTATAAATTGCGAATTATATACACATAGTAAACATAGTAGACTATCGCTGGTATTAATTGCAAAATTTCACATTTAAACTTAACAAAGATTTTGCTTAGATGCGCAGAATTCCCCCACCTTCCCCTAAGTCTATTTTTATATCAAGTTTGTAGTCTTAAAAATACTGTACTTAATTTATTATCTACTTCCACATTGACAAGCTGTGACTTTATCGCTTGTTAGTCATGGGCTAAAGTTGTCAATAGTAGGTATCAGTATCAGTTAGTCACGAGCTAAAGTTAGGTTTATTATAAATTGGTAAAAAGTGAGGTTAAATGTATCTGAAAATCGTCAGATGTCAAATGATTAACAAATAAAATTTGCTTAAAACTTTTCTATCTATGAACGTTGTAAGTATAGTATGCAAAGATCGTTTATAAACTTTTCTAGACACTCGTTTATATTAAACACTCACTCGCAAGCTTCGCTGGTCCCTAATTAAAACTTGTAAGTAAAATACCGTTTATCAAACTTAATACATAATATACCTACCATTTTTATTAAAAATTCCAAATTTTTCAATGTTACAAAAAATACCCGACATTTTGGGCAGCTGTAGCTATATGTGTACATTAAAAAGTTAGAGATATAACGAAATTTAAGTTTAAGTTAAATTTATAAATTGTTAACTTAAATGTTAAATTATTAGACCATGCTAAAAACACATCTGCAGATATTGGATTTAATCGTAATTTTTTACAAATCTGTTAAAACATCGTGACATCACGATGCGGTATAAAAAATGATGTAGCGTTCTTAAAAATTGTTTGAGAAACTCGAAAATATTTTTTAATTCCGACAACTCGTCATGACGTTATCGTCAATCATAAAAGTGACGTATCGTAAAACATCGTATGACGAGTCGCGTCATTTTTGGTAGGGTTATTAATAATTAATGATTATAATAAACATATAATAAATAAAATTAAATTATTATTAAGTACTGCATTATAAACAAAACGTTTGTTTCCATGTTCGGCATTGTTGAAGAACTTTGTCATGTTTTTGTAGAGATATTTTACAAAATCAATCGGACAAACCAAAGAAACAAGTGTACAAAATATGTCTAAATATTAACATATCGCGGCTTAACCCAAGGCTACTTGATCACTTTCCATCAAAGTCTATAAATTCCATAACAGTTTTACCCAAATTTGAAGCGAATTTAAAAATGTATGCGAAACGTTCCATTATACGAATAAAGAGTTAAACTTGAGCTCTTGTTAAAATTTTGTATTAATTAAGTACTAAAAAAGATACTACTCAACTTCATCCCTATGAAAATTCAAGAATGTATTTAAATCCAACTGCACTTTTAAATTACCTATGCCAGTTTCGTTTTAAATCGCAATATTTTAAAATTTAAATGTGTTGAAAGAAATTAATTTGAATTCTGCATTATTGACATGTTTTTAAAACTTCAAACACGAATATCTCAAAAACGAAGCCTTTATCATTATTCAAACAAAATCGGTTGAATGGTTCAAAAGTTAAGCAAAAAAAAAACTGTATATGTTATTAGGCACTTTTAAAATATAATTTTTTACGAAAGTTACCTTTATTTTCGATTTTATATTACCTCATAAAACTAATGTATCACAAACCGGACCACCCTGTATATTTTTTTTAATCTTGTTATTTCTAAACAAATTAAACTGTATACACAATAGAAAAATATTTTAATGTTCTCCCAGGTGAAAGTTGCAGAGTGAAAAAGTTGGAATGGAATGATAGTAGTGTTCCACATCAATCTAACTTTACACTTAAATATTCATTTAACACTAGCCCAGCTCTGGCAGTGCACATTAGTGTAAATTTGCAATCAGGGTGTGTTCAGTTGACAAAAACGCAAACTTGTTTCGTTCATTGTTCTCTTAGAATTTGTGTTGTAAGAATGCACCAAGCTGTTTAGTTATGGTTTATAATTATTAACTAAAGGTAAGTTAATTTCAAAGTATTAATACTCATCATAGTTTATGTCAAACATTGCATTTTGTTTTGGTTCATAAGGTCGAAAATCGCGTAAAATTCGCGTTTTGTACAAAAGTACAGACAAATTTCAAGTACAGTTCTTACAATAGCTCAGTTTAATGTATATAATAAGTAAATCGATTTTTTTTTAATTTTTAGATGTTTTTCCTGAGAGTAAAACATGTCCATGATGCCAAAAATTCAGCCAGCAGATACCATCAGATGACATTTTATGATGACACCTTTGCACTGAATTGCAAAAAGGACCGTCAAAGTTTTATTTTGAGAATATCACTGAAAAAATTTGGTATATAAATATATAGAAGAATTTTCCGATTGATAGAAATTTTAGTCACAAAATGGATAAGAATTGGTTACCTGTATAAAACTACGAGATTTTAAGCTTGCATTTCAAAGAGCCATACAATTTACACCAATCTAACATTGTCAATAATTATTGGTACTTTATGCCAAAATATTATTTAGTGTTTTGAACGTATTTATATTTTAAGTAATTGCCAAAGATTAGTTTTATATTAGCGTAAAACTTACAATGTATTTTCGTATTTATATAAAGTAATTACCAAATATTGTAGTTTAATTTTTTGTAACCTAAAACTTACAATGAAATGTATTTTTATTTAAATATAAATTTTACACGGTTAGTGTAGTAATTTTCAATCAAATCGTGTATGAAGTCGCACGAACTGTGTTAAATGTGTTACACTACAAGAGTATCTACAACCTCTAGAGTTAAAACAACACTAAAATTCACACTAAATTTAAGGTGAAAATTTGAACTCTAATAAAGTGGACCTGCTCAAGCTATAACTAGTGTTCTCTAGTGAAGCCTAGTTTGAAGCTTTTTTTACTGTGTAGGGCTTCACCAATTTTTTTGTAACTTTTTACACTTTTTCTTTGATTATCATACTTGGTTATTACAATGTTAATGTGTTAGTTGTATAGGTGCTTACATAAATTTTTTTATTAAAATTAATCCCAAAACAACATCCAATTTATATAACATTATGCAAAATTTGATTTTGACAGAAGGACCTTTAAAAAATAAATTTAATTTTAATAATAAAAAAACTAAAACATTTGTTTTCCAAGGCATATTTGACCTAAATTTCTTGTAATATATTCTAGTAATATTCACTTGTAATATATTCTGGTATCATTTTGTTAAACTCAATATTTAAATGATTTTTCATTTTCAATTTTTTACAAACAAGACATACAATAATTATTTGCCATGCCTTAAGTGTTAAAATTGCAATTTTATTTCGGAAATGGAAGAAAAAACAAAATATAGTAAATAAATACTTATAAATAAACTAACAACATTCAAGTCAATAGCTCGAATAATTAACAAAAAATTATTTGTAAAAATTTAATCCCGGTGCATTCGCCATTTTAATGATTAGTTTCAATATTTACTTTAAGAAAATGGTTTTAATGATAAAAACGTTAAAATAAAACCCTGTATTTAATGTATTCATATATTTTTTTTAATAAATAACTTATATAAAATAAATTAATTTTTAACACTTAAATAACACTTAAACAACGCATTAAACAATAGCTATATCGGCACAGTTCCTAAACACTTCTTGAGGTCCACATCCTTTTCCACCTTTTCCATCTTTGCAAGTACCCCAGTTATTACCTAAAATATAAAAAATATTATGGTATAATAATAATAAAATGTGGACTTTTGCTTACTACAATAAGTATTAATGAACTAAAAATATTAAGTTCCCAATCTTTATGAATAAATAAAAAAATATTGCCATCCACTTACCGACTGTCCAGTTCCATCTGAGAACGCATCTTTTACACGTCATATTGGGCAAAACAACCTTGTTGTAGACTTCCTTATCCTCAGGTTTAACCTTGTAACTAGCAGAACCATCTGCAAGTTTTAAAGGTTTGAAGCAATGTTCTCCAGCTTCGGGTTTCTTGGGATTGCTTAACTTACACAAGCTTAAATAATGCAAGAATTAAAGTTATTTCGGATTAAGCATGTTTTCTTGATAACAGTTAGTGCATTTTTTTCTTTTATTTTTTGATTAAGAGTTTTATATTTTTTATAGTTATTTAGTTTTTATATTGTTTAAAAGCAGTTTTTTTAAATAATATAACAATTTTAAATAATTACCTGTATGTGAAGGATCCAACATGGTTGTAAGTTATTTTAATATGCACATCGATGGTACTTCCAGGTTTGTATGTTTTTGCTATTTTCCCCTTGCCATATTTACCACCATTTTCATTTTCTTGAGGATGGGGGGATTGTACTGCATCTCCGCAAACTCCACATTTTCCATTATGAAGTGTCCATTGATTCTATTTTACAAACAACGTATAATATCATATTTTATTTGAAATTTTTATAAACTTACGCCGAATCCTCCACAATTAATGCCCATATCAGAATAATTGGGTTCTGCAGATTTGTCAAATCTCCACAGGGAACTTCTATTAGGAGGTTCCAACATCATACCATGACCGGCTATACCGTAAATAAGATTGACAAGAACGGAAATTGAACACCAAATTGAAACACCACCCATTTTAATGGTATTAGAGTTCTAATTTTAATACGACCCTCTATGTCTATTAGTCCTAAACTCTCTATTAGTCTTCGACTAGTACGTAGCATGACAGTCAGTTTTTGCATTATATAGTCGATACAAAAACCACCAAACTAATTATATTCCGTAGTTTTTACCAAATTTATTTACGTTATTTTAGCTATAATTCACGTCAATGCTTTATGAAAATATTTTATTAAGCAATATGCTTTGATGGTGTTATTTTATCATCAAGCCACAAATATATTTGGGTATTATATTTATAATTATATGATATATAATTATAATCATTGATGTAGGTAATAAATCATTTAAATAATTTTTACAGTAAATTTAAATGAATTTTTATTAATTTAAATTGTTTAATTTTTAAATTTATTATCAAATAAAAAAAACAATTAAAATGAAAGGCTAATTTAAGTAGGTATATTGATATTAATCAATAAGGATTAACCATAGGTTAATAACCTTTTAAAAAAGTTACTTTATTTTGTTAGTATTAAGTATACTTATTTTTGGGTAAGATACTAAAGATAAATTTATTTTTAAATGTTTTACCTACAAGTGCACTTATAGAAAAAGGTCAACTCAACCAATTTAAATAATATGTGCTTGTTTCACTCGAAAAATGTCAACCTCATAATTTGTCATTTATTTATCCAATATGTAGTCATCAGTAATATCAGCAATGCCAGACAAAAAACAATGTATTAAAGTTGAGGACGAAGAACCTCTTGTAATAACAATCACATCATGCAAAGGAAAGCATGCAAATGCAATTGAAAACCCCCACGTTAAGAAAGAAACACCATTCAAAGATGACAACCCACCTGTATTTATAGAACCTGAAATTAACACTAAAACAAGTACTATAGCTGCAAAAATTTTGCCTGTTATTACTCCAAGATATCATGGTCCTGGGTGTTCCATGGAGATCGCAATTTTGGAAAAACATGAACACGGTTGTAGGTATAACAACCTTTATTTGCATTTGGATTCATGCAAACTTAAATCCCATTTTTATAGGTTTAAAAAGCTTTCCAATGAGCTTCGCACTTCAGACGATAGATCGGGCAGCTTCGAATACATCGGTAGATTAGCTTATAAAACATGTGGCGTAGCAGGTGTATCCACACCTGCAAAATCCAGCATAATAAGCAAAACAGTAAGGGAATCCGTTGATTCTGACGGTTTAGAAGCCCAAGAACCGTCTAAGCCTGCCAGCAATGCCACTTCTTTACATGTAGATCAGACCACAGATGTAGAAAATAATGAAGAAGACGCAGAAAATTTTCCCGTTTTTAGTTCGAAAACCATGACTCCCAGAGAATCGCCTGCTTCAATGCATAAAGATGCTGAAACTCAAGTGAAGACGAAATCCGAGTTCCGTGTTGAATCTTGCATGGTCGAAACGCCCACCGATCGATTGACCATGCAAGAACTAATAAAAAATAAACAGATATACGACGCTTTATCCCGATACTCTCCTGATATACTTAAAACAGAAGTTTGCGTTAATAATGTAACCATCAACTCTCCTCCACTTTTCGAGAGTTTTGGTAAGGCATTTGAAACGTATTGCCCATCGAAAAAGGAAAGAAATCCTAGTTATATGAAGTCTTCAGGGAGTTTTGCAAAAAAAGATTTTAGACATGTACACACTACTATGAGCACAATAATTCTTGCCAATAAATACGTGTCAACAACCATGAATGGGTCAGATTTTCACCATAAACCAACTCAATGTAAAATAGACAGTAGCATGTCTCTCATTATGGGAGGGTTGCATATGAAAAAGAAGTTTAAAAAAATTTGGACTTGTGTATTAAATAGAAATGGATAAATAAATAATTTAAACGTCCTTATTTTAATGCAAAATAGCTTTGTTTGTTTTAGGGTTATAATTAATGATACAACTGACTTAAAAAGATGCTTTATTTCAATATAAAATAAATAAATTAAATAAGCTTTATCAATTAATCTATTTAAAATCATAATTTAATTTCCTAGGCGTCATAAATTGCTTTAGAACCTCATCTGTAACCTGAGCTCTCCTTTGCTGATGATTAGTTATAACTGGAGTAATTGTTTCTATCAAAAGTTTCTTCAACTCTCCAGTCAACAGATTGCCACTGGTATAATCCTTTCCGATTTTCTTTAATTTTTCATCGTCCTCCAAAAAGAATTTTAGATATTGATAGGATATGTCAATTTCACAATTTCCTCCTAATTTTCTGTGTTCTTCAATTGTGGTCTGCCCTCCAGAAAATGCATGTTTGTTAACTTTATTTTTTATTTGTTTTGCTGTATCACTCATGTATATTGTAGAATTGGCATCTGACGCCGACATTTTCGTTTTAGCACCTTGCAAAGCCGGGAAAAAAATGGAATGCAATAAGGCAGGTTTTGAAAATCCCAATCTGGGAGCCACATCTCTAGTCATTCTAAAGTAAGGATCTTGATCTATTGCACATGGTATCAGGCATGGTAATTTGTTGGTACCAAAAATGCTTGGAAAAGATGTGGAAAAGCAAGGTGTGGCCTGTATGGCCGGAAATGCAATTTTACCTATCACTGTGCTGTCGTCAAATCCAAATATACCTTTGACTTGGTTATAGGTTACACATTTTTGAATTTTGATTATATTTTTATAAAAGTCCGAAGAATTTCTAAAATTAAAAAAATAAATATTTAAACCAAATGACAAAAATTTAGCATTGATTTTAAAGAATTTGTATTAATTTTATGATTTAAAAATATTTTTTATTTGGACATAATAAAATATGGCTTTTTAAATGAGTTTTGGTATTTTTAATTATGTTTTAACATTTTAAAACTTATCTAATTAGATAATATCTAATAGATATGTTTTAAACTTATCTAATTAAATATGTTTTATATTATAAATTTTTTAAAATAAGAAAAAAATAGTTTGTGTAAATTATTACTGGTACTAGAAAAAAAAATGTATAAAACTTTAATACAAAGTCACTTTTTGCACTATAAGGTTATTTAATAAATTGCTTACAGCTTGTTATAAAAATTCTGCATACATATGTAATATTATTTTATTTATTTTCGACTTTTTAATAAAAAGTATATATACAGTGTGACCCATTTGTTTGCGACTCACCCCTGTACAATCTTTATTTTTTGTGCGATTTTAACCCGATTTGTTTTAAAGTGTGGATCTTGATAAACTGCATTTTTGGAGCGAAAGACGCCATATTAGAACAAAATACAAATTATTAAGAATTCATATTAGCGATTTTTTTTTTAAAAATCCAAGCACGGCACTGGATTCACCACCCCTTAAAACGACCCTATGCTAAATTATATTGAAAAATTTTAAGAAAAAAAATGCACAATAATAACTTTAAAAATTTATTTTGTCAAGTTATCGACGACAAAAACATTGAAATAAAATTAAACTAATAGTAAAATGGTAATATTACTATAAGTTTAATTTTATTTCAATGTTTTTTTCATGGATAACTTGACAGAATAAATTTTTGAAGTTATTATGGTGCATTTTTCAACTTTAAATTTTTCAATAAAATTTAGTAAAGGGTCGTTTTAAGGGGTGGTGAATCCAGTGCCGTGCTTAGATTTTGTTTAAAAAAATCGCTAATAAGAATTCTTAAAAATTTACTCTTAAGAACTGACATAGTAGGCCTTGTATTTTGTACTAATATGGCATCTTTTGCTACAAAAATACAGTTTATCAAGATCTACACTTTAAAACAAATTCGGTTAAAATTGCACAATATATAAAGATTTTACAGGGGTGAGTCGCAAACAAATAGACCACACTGTATATATATATATATATATATATATATATATATATATATTTATAGGTATCTCGAAAATAGCGCAAAACCGATATACCCTTCTGTTACTGTAAATATTTACAACATTTTAATGATTTGAGATTATTTATTTATAAAAAAAAGTTAAACAATACATGTTTTAAAAATAAAAAGTTAAAATGTTTTAACAATATGAAATTAATAAAATAAATATCAGATTGGGTATTATATACCTATATAAAAATATCCAACAAACTGTATGTATGTAACCACCAATAAATAGGGTTAAAAAGCGGAGAAAAATATTTTACATTTCACAGAAAATTTCATTCTTGAAGAGTTTTTGCTCCCAGAATATGTGACACATTTTTATTGACTATACTTAATTTTCAATTTTGATTTTTTTGACTTTAAAAAAACATTTTTTATCAGTTTTCATTCATTTGTCATTTTTTTCCATTAATTTTTAGTTATGAAAAAGTATAAAAATGCATAAAACATGGGATAAAAAATGTATTTTTGGCGATAAATTTAAAAGGAACAGCTTTGAAAGTCTCAATCGAAATGATTACTTTAAAAAAATGACAAATGAACAACTGACCAAAAGTTTTTAGTTCAAAATTTTCAGAAAAATCAAAATTGCAAATTAACCATAGACAATAAAAATGATTTGTTGCTTATTCTGGAGATTAAAAATCAAGAATGAAAATATTTTGATTCCACTTTGTGGACTGTACTTATTTTGATATATCAAAAACTATTTAAGTCAGGACTTAAACCAGTTTACCATCGGAAAGAGCGAAAAATTGTAGACAAAAAATATGAAACATGATTTTAAAAAATTAGAATTAATAGGTACAGTTTGGCAATGTGTTTACCCATTGTTAAAAATACCTTAATGAATTATTTGGGTTACTTGATAAACTATTACTTACCCAATATAGTCAATATCAGAGAATATAAAAGTCTTCTCCAAATCAAATCCAATTGCAATAATATCCTTGGCATTCTCATAAGCCAACCGATGAGCCTCCTCGGCTGTGATATCCTTCCACAAACACTTCTCATCATCAGTCAACTGAATCACTAAAGGTACATTAAAAACATCCTGCAGCCATTTACATAGAGTGAATGGAATTAAATGCCCTAAATGCATGGAGGAAGATGATGGCCCCCTCCCAGTGTATAAGTAAAAAGGCTTCCCATTCTCATACAAATTCAATATTGTATGCATATCACGATGAGAAAAAAATATTCCTCGTCTCAAGTAATGATGAACTGGCTTTCCAGTAACCTTCTCAAACCTACTAAGAAGCTCATCGTCAATTTTTGAACTCCCAAACTTCTCTAAAAATCACATACGTTACAATGTATTAATCTGGTTTTCCGGCATATAAAATTGACTTCCATTGACTACCATATGCAAAGTTACTTACTTATCAGTTTTTCATAATCAACGCCCTTTTCTGAATTACTGACCACATTCCAGGGGTCAACTACATCATCCGGAGACTCAATATGAGCTTCTTTAAGGGTGCCAGTGATTTCATCAGCCATAATTAGTCTAAATCCTAATTATACATGTACGGTTTTTAGGTTAGGTTAAACGTCAAACGTCTGGTTGAAGAGGTTAGGACAGGAGATTTCAATTTGTATAGTGTGATATCTGGGTTGCATAATCACCAGGTAAAAAATATTAAAAAAAAGAAAAATATTCTAATTTTTATAATGTTGTTTACATTGTTATTATGTATTGTTTAATGATATTTTAAACAAAAAACCTTTAAGAACCTACTAAATGCAGCTATTCTTATATGGAATCCTAGACAAAACTACTTGAAAGAGCCAGTTGCCATATTTATTAATTTAAAAATCCTAAATCAATTTATTAATTTAATAAAAATGATTTTAGGAAATGATTTATTACGATTTAATACAGAAAATCTATCTTTATGGGAATAAATTTTTAAATTGAATCGAAGATTCCTGTTCGAATAACTATGAGAAAGTGTAAAGTGTGCATTGACATTTCTTGGACTGCCTAAAAGTTTATGTTAAGTTTGTTAAAAGTATAAATATTATTTATTATTATATTTATCAAGTAATAACAGTAACTTAACCATGGGTTACAATTATTATTATTAAGGTTACAAATAAAAACTTTGTAGACATAAATTTCTTATTTTTTAGTAATACCTAGGTAGGTACAGTTGTATTCATTAAAAAAGCGTACAAGAATTAGAATGAGAGAAAACTGTCAACATTATTGTGTAAAACCGGCTTTCCACTGACTTAAGTCACTATAACTGACAGTAGAAAATAAAAATGCCTCGACAGTTAAAAAGGCTCAAATAGTATCAAGAATCGAAGAAGAATGGTCAATTCGTACCGTGGTATAATAGAAATAAAAAATCTATATTAAAAATTAATAATTTTTGTAATATTATTTAATTAACCTACGACGTCAATGCTCTTTATAACCTATAGTAATTATTTTAATGACTTATGTCAGTGATAAGCCGGTTTTAAGCAATAATATTATTTTGACAGTTTTCTCTCATTCTAATTCTTGTACGCTTTTTTATTGAATACAACTGTATTTAAATATTACAAAAAAATAAGGCTACCTAACAAACACAGACAAGAACTAAATTTTAATTTAACACTAATACACTGCCTACACTACAGTTTAGTTAGTGGAGGATTTGGGAACACAGCTTATTTACGCACTTGGTGAAATTAATGCGCATGTACGGAAACAGCTGTAGTTGACAAAGCACGTCGTGTTTGTCTATGAACATCAAAACAAAGATTAATGTAAATAGTGCTTGAAATTGCAAAAGGCGCAATATGCCTGACTTATTCGGTATAACAGACACAATTAAAAGAAAAACGTGTGCATATTTAATACAGAGATACATTGGACATCTTTTTGAAGAAAAAGTTACTTCTGAGCAACTGAAGGTTGATTTGATCAGTGGCACTGGATTATTGCAGAAAATAAGTTTGGACGTTCAGGTGAGCAGTTTTAACATAATTCTTAACGTTTAAAGAACATTCACATAATAAATCATGTTGGAATCATTAAAATACTTGACTGTATTTTTGTTATAAGGGAATTTAGTAGGTACCTTCAATATTGTCAATATTATTCTCTAAATATATTTGGTCTATTCTTAAAGGACAGAGTTTTTTTTAAATATGAGCTGTTTCGCCAACATTGGTGGACATCTTAAGATTCTTAAGTACATAAAATTACTAAGCTTAAGCTAGATTTAACTTTAACTTTGCATATATCCATGGATTTTACTGTTGACAGTGAAAAACCTAAGCTATGGATAAATATAAATGTCTTTAAAAATTTCAACTTGCACCCTAATTAATCACCCTAGATTTGGCTTTTTATAAAAAGATAGATATATCTATATGTAGTTAAGTTCCAGTTTGTTTTTCTGACAGATAATCTATAGAAAATATTGTCAAAGCAATGGTATTTTCGAAATTTTTCTGCCAGATATACTTAGGTACTGGAACAATGTCCAGACATTGATAAACAGTTTATCATAAACTGGCCCTTAGTAATATATATTTAAGCAATGTTTATTACTATTACTGTTATTATTTATAATTTCACCTAAATATGAAAAGTTTTGTCTAAATACCAATAGATATTATATTATAGGTATCATAGGTACCAATAGATATCATATTATAGGTATAATCACAATCCACACCACAAGGTCTGTTCTATCTCATGCTAAAAATACTAAAAATCACTGCAACACTGCACAGTTTAACGGCGGCCATTTTTGTTGTTTACAATTCTTGTGCTTTGAGTTTGTGCTGTTTAATAATTGTTTTAAACGTTGTTTCTAACAGAGGCACTTGTAAGCCTCAAATAAGGCCTTTAAGCGCTAAGGACATCCATTTTACTCCTCTTTTATAATAAATATACCTTATTCAATCAGGGCTGTCAAATGACAATTTGAAGGTTAATTTGTGGGTTATAATTTAACCTTAAAATTGACATTTGATAGTTTTAGCCCTGAATAAAGTTTATTTTTTACAATAGAGGAGTAAAATGGTTGTTCTTGGCACTTTAAGGACTCTTTTAAGGCTTTCTATGAGAAACACGTTTAAAACGATTATTAATCTGTATAAACAGAACACAAACCCAAAGCCACAAAATTGTAGACAACAAAAATGTCCGCCGTTAAACTGCAATGTTGCAGTGATTTTTTGTATTTTTAGTACGAGATAGAACAGACCTTGTTGTGTGGATTGTGCTTTTAGCAACATAATTTTTTTAAACATTAGGGATTGACAAAAAGTAGTATTTACAGCTACAGCCTCCGCGTCCTTGCCGGATGTAAGCTTGGTTGTAACTATGGTAATTTTTAATGTTATTGTACCTAACCTCAATTCTACTGTCATTGACAGATACCTAACCTTAATAATACTGAAAGTTACAGATACCTAACCTTAATTCTACTAAAAGTGACAGATACCTAACCTCAAATCTACGTCATTCATCAATACCATAGTTACAACCCAGGTTACATCACTCAGTACCCGCGCGAAATTTAAACGGAATGTAGCGTTTCCGGATACATTTTCCTAAAACCAAAAATGCTTGTCTCGGCGTGGCCTATCTATTACGCCTATTACCATTTATTTCCTAACACTTTGAATATCTAATATGGATTTCACAATGCTGTATCTTTGTTCTATTTTTTAAGGACAATCCATAAATTTGAACCTTGATATTTTCAATGCAATACCTATGTACAGGAAATATTAATATTTTACCATCCAAAACCTTGCAATCATTTGTTTATAATATCATGTCCTAAAATGTATAGTATAAATACTATAGCTACAATTAAATATTTTGACCTGATTTTAGTGTTTATAGAATAAAATATAAACAAATTCATTTAATAAGAAACCATTAATTCATTAACACGCATATTATGCGAATACGAGGGCATATTGATAAGTCCTTAAGAGTATTTCATACAATATTTTGGGCCAAATTAAGTTTTGAACATCATCTTATTTTAGCTCGATACTGTTAAGACCCCCAATAAAACTATTCTAAGAATGTACCCTTTGTGACATTGTGTGGTCCGTGGATTTGTTTTATAGCTTGTTTTGAGATTGAAACTGCTTTCGGCAAATTTTATAAAAGGAATCTTTATAAAACACCCTAATAAAGCCGACAAAAGGGGCAGGTAGAGAAATGGTGGTGGTACAGAGTTTTCCTTTTGAATAATCGGCCGTAGCTAAATCAGAGTTTTTCAAGAATTAAGAGAGTAAAGTCGATTTATAAAAATGCATATATTTTATTAAATAAATCTAAATTAGTTAAATATAAAAAAACAGTTTATTTCAAAGAATGCGTCTACAGCGTCGATTACTTCAGTATTTAAATACTCAATTGAGGCAAACGGTTTTTCAGTTCAGTTCAGTTTTATTTCATATGTAAATGTTTAGGCATTTAACCTTTGATCTTTACTTTGCCCTCGTATACGATATATTTTTAATTATTAAAGTTTATTAACACCTGATAAAATTGTTTTGGTGTTATTATTCTTTAACATAATTGTTCTTGAGAAATAACATTTTGCATACACATGTAAAATAAATGAAATTTTGAAGGACATATGCAAAAGTCTTGATTTATATCAAAACAAGATTTTAATTTATTCAAATTTATTAGACATTTCATTGATAATGTAATTCATATAGTTTAAACTCACTTTAAAAACGTTAATGCAAATACTTTGAAATTAAGTTGTATTATATTTATTAAATTATTGATTAAACACTCATTATTATGCCTAATATATTTCCTTTGTGACGTGGAAAATGCACGTGTTAAGATTTCAAAACTTATTGATACCAAGTATTGTTTTGGAAAAACAGTGTTAATTCATCAAGTCTGGACCAAATTTTAAACGTTTATGTTTACTTTCTTTGGATTTTATTTGTGAAAGAAAGTTGTAAAATCAATATTTATTAATTCATTAAGAAAATTAACAACTTTTTGTTTATTTTTAAACAAAACTTGTATCTGCAATTTAGAACAGTTCTGCACATGTCAAAAAAGTTATTTCCTTACACTTTCTGATTTATAAATATTTGTATTTAAATGAAGCCAATTGGCATAAGGCCATTTTTCTAATCTAAAAAAATATATTGCATAACATAATAACTTATATATACAGTATACCATAAAACCACATACTAGCAAATTTTTAATAGTATTTATACCGGGTGTTCCGCGATAGGGGGAGTTCATTTTTTTTTATTTTATTATTTTATCGTGCTTACAACAGGCACCCGGCCTAACTACAGGAGTACACACTGACAAACACAAATAAACTGCCATACCCATGTGGGATTCGAACCCACAACCTCTTGGCTTGTAGTCCGCAGTGCTGACCACTACACCACCGAAAATTGAATTATATTTCTGTGCTCTTTTAAGAATATTTATTTTTATAAAAGGACTGGATGTACAAGGTATAAGGTAAACTTATTGGCATAAATTAAGGAAAAGATAGAGTCAAAATAAGAAGAAAACCTAAATAAATATTTTTCCTAATTACTTATGTTTTTAAGATACAGGGTGATAAAGTCTTACTTATCAAATCAGTTTTTTAACAAAATAGCAGGTCAAAGCTTGCGATATTGTCCAAAAATACAGGTATATTTCTATACTGGGACCCCCATTTTGGCCCTCCCAGCTCTAGAAGTCACTTATTTTTCACTACTCTTTCATAGAGCAACCTTACTCTGCCAGCACCAAAATGGAAGTCCTCAGACAATTGTAATTATGTGTGAATATGTGTATTGCTAGTAAGTAACTGTTCGCAAAATATCACCCTTCCAAGTCTACCATAGTAAAAGTTATATAAAAAAACTGATATATCATATATGATAAGTAACACTTCATCACCCTGTATCTTGGAAACATACGTAATTAGGAAAAATATTTATTTAGATTTTCGTCTTATTTTGACTTACTTATAAGTATTATAATATGCTCCTAAATTTATGCCACTAAGTTTAGGGACACCTTGTATATAATAATTCATATATTTTAAAATTTTCTCACGTTCGGTTTTTGGGATAGTGCAGCCTTTCACTCTCCTGCCCATAAACTACATTGCTGCGTAAATTTTTGTTTTTATAGAGGTTGCATAAATTATAAAACTTAAAGATCTTATTAAAGTTTGTCGTTACCTGTGTTATAACTAAAGGTTAGAGAAATATTTTTGAAACCACTATATACATACATACATATATATACAGTGTGTGCGATTCAAGACCGCAATACCCAATAATTTTTTAACGCGTAGACCGATTTTAATATATATTTTTTTGGGACAGTATAATAATATTTTGGCAATATATTTTTAAATAAACCACAGTTATTAATATAATTATAATTAACTGTTAATATTTTATATAATGTTATTATATATACAGTGTGTCCGCGGATGGGGTCCGCAAGGGGGAAATAATCTTAATTATTTATTTTACGACCAAAAGTCATTCTTTATAAAAAGTTCTGCTTGTTGAGAAAATGAATTCACGATAAATAAATTAAGATCAGATGTACAGGGTGTTCATAAATAAATATGAAAATGCTTCAAGAGAGAAGTACCACTATTTATTATTTTTAACAAAAATTTTATAAAACAAAGTTGTTTATAAACTTGCGTAAAGACTAAATACAAATTTAAAATAAAAATTCGAATATTTTAAAATTAAACAAAGTTGTTTATAAACTAAAATAAAATTAAACAAAGTTGTTTATAAACTAGCAAAATATAGAATTTCTTCAAGAGAGAAGTACCATTATTTATTATTTTTAACAAAAAATTTATAAAATTGCAATATTTTATGTAAACCATTGCATTGTACCGTTGACACCCTCAATTAATGATTTTACATAAAACAAAGAACCATAATATTATTTTCATTTTTAAAAACTTTTAAAACCTTATAATATAAAATGTAGCCCCATGTATGTTCCTTTCCTTTTTTTTTGTATTTTTAAGGAAAAATATTTGAACAACATATTTATTTCAGGCACTAAATGAACTGGGCGAAAAACAAAACTGGCCAATAGAATTCGTCGACGGCTACATAGAAACCCTCCACATTTCCATACCATGGAGAACGATATTTTCCGACAAAACGCACGTCTTGATAGACAGCTTAAAATTGACCATACAGCCAAAACAAAGAAGCGAAAATGGTAATAAAAAATCACCAATATCTGAACAAATTGTTCATAATTTTATTGTTATTTTTAAGCTACTTCCATGTTTGAATCCATGTGGAATTCCATGACCAGTTCCATACATTTAGCTGAAGAGTGTGCCAAGCAAGATGAGCCAGTTTATAGCTCGTCGCCTTATGAAGGGCTTGATGCTTTTGCCACAGCCATTGACTCAAGTAAGAAACATATTTATTTGGCCCTTGTAGTGTAATATACTATTTAACCATTGACAAAATTACATAATAAAGCAATAATTTGCAAAATTATACCAAAAATACTTCAATAAAGTAAACGTTACCTCTAAAATTTTGATATTTAGTATTAATTAACAATAAAAAGCATTTACGTAATACCACCAGTAATATTTAATAATATTAAGTAATACCAAGTGATACCATGTAATACCAATAATAATAGGTACTTGGTAATTTTACGGAATACGCTTTTTTTCTCAAAGATACATGCAAGAATAAATGTGTTCAGTTTTTAGTGAATATGTCGTATATTGCGGAATAAAAAGTGCAAATTATTTTTGTATGAAATTCCTTATAATTTGTGTCTAGTGATTTTGTTTAAACAAATGAGCAAAATAATGTGGTTCGTTAGGGTGAAACTTTTATTTTTGTCTTTTCCCTTTTGTCACTTTTTTGCAAATATTTCGCAAACTCTTCATTTTAAGTTAAATTCTTACCACCCAAGAGAAAAAATTTCAAGTGCATTTTTTGTGAAAAATTTGTAAAAGTGTCAAAAAACAAAAGACAAACAAATTTTTCACTTTAACTAGCCATATTTTTATCCATATTCCTTAAAAAAAAGGTGAACAAATTTGGTTTGGAGCTTTTTTTATTGCTTAATTTACGGGAGATATTCGCTAAAAACTGACTGCAGCACACTTGTATTGTTCCGGTTCCAGAAGATTCTCGATACCCCTTTACTTTCCTACGACCGCTTTCCTTAATTTATAAAAAATATTTTTTGATAAAGTTTATGATAATGATTTTTTATACTTGATACTTTTTGTTGTTTTAATACTTTGTTGTTTGTGATTTTAAAGGGTTTTTATTATGTTTAGTTTAATTTTTAAGTTAGTTGGCAGTTGTTAAATGTCATACAATCGTTAAAATAAAATGCCTTTCTTGGAAAATAATACTAAATATGAAAATTATTTTATTATCTTGATACAAAAGTATTAAATAGTTTCTTGACGCCAATATTTCAAAAGATTATATGAACGTTTGTACTGACCGTTTGATTTCGCCGTAGTAATCCAGTTAACTAGATTTAACTGATAGAGCGTTAAAATTTTTGCGTACAGTTCCCATAGAACATTCTCTTCTCTTTTACTGTGAAAAAACTGCTTCTATATTGATTGTTAGTCTATTTTCTATTTATAAATTTTAATATACACAGAAAAATTTCAGATTTTAACGCCGGTAGATTCCTAAGTTGGAAATTCTAACTTTTTGTACCTTTAACATTTTCCGTGCAAGATTTTGATACTTGTGATAATAATTAGTAATAAAAAAAGGATAAAATTTTTTCTTAACAATCATATTTTAAAGTTATTTTAATATTTTAAAGTATCAATTATTGTTAAGTTTAATTAAAATAATAACGGGGAATGTTAATGGTAAACATTACGTCAAAAATGTTTATTGTGATGTTTAGTTTATTTTCGTATATGTCACTTTATACAAATATTTAATTTAAATAAATAAATAAAATAGATAATATTAAGTATTTGTAGTAGAAAAAGTATAGTATACAATTCGTTTATAAACTTTTCTAGGAACTCATTTAATTAAGCACTCGTTCGGAAGCTCACTCGTGCCTAAATTAAATTTGTGACTAAATATAATATAATATTATACAATTTTTAATGTTGTTTTAGGAAAATTTATAATCTTAAAATATCATTTGAAGAGTTTTATAATCTGTGGTTTGATAAATAAATAACTGTAACATAACAGCAAATTCAGTGGTGCCAATGTAGTAAAATTAAAACGTTGTATTTTAATTAAAAATATTATATTATTAAAAATAAAAGTATCATTAAAAACTAAAATTAACATAAAAAGTAAATAAGTAAAAAATTAAATTGTTAATTTGTTGTTACAATGGCAAAATTAAGGTTTAAAACTGTCATATTTTTGCGTTTCTTAAGTTGGCAAGACGAAATTTGAAATGATAATTTTAAAAAGTGCTAAACAAATTTTTTTTTGAGATTTTCATAAAAAATAATCTGTAATAACCAATTTTTAAACCATTAACATGATTCTCCTTTGTTGCTGGAATTTAAAAACGAATTTTTGAAAGTGTTATTTCCAACAGATTTCCCATACATTATTTCAAAAATTCGTTTCCAAACTCGAAAAGCAAAATAGGATCATGTTGATAGCTTAAAAATCGATTATTATAGTTTATTTTTTATGGAAATATAATGAGCGAGCTCTTGAGATACAAAATAAAAAAATGGCGTATGAAATCAAAAATTATGTTCTCGGAATTTGTGCTGTAAAATGATCTGAAATTTTTGTGAATTTGTCTGATGCCATATATTAAATTTTTAAGACATTATATGGAAAGTCTTCAAAAGGTTTTTAATTATTTCGCATAATTTTTTTTATTTGTATATTTTTTATTAAGATTAATAATAATAAACATCTTTATTGGTTTCCCAACAGGCTATCGACCGTGGTCTTTCTGCCCAATTTTACAAAAAAAATTTATAAATATAATAATTGTTAATTGTAGTTACAATATTGAATTTATATAAAAAAAAAATAATAATAAAAACATAAATCTCAAATATTTTAGTCTTCGTTAGTGATGTCCGTGATTATCTCCCATAAAGTTTGTGTAGGATATTTCCTTTTGGGGGGCAGGTTATGGTCTCTACCGTGCATTAAGTTTTCCATAATTTGTATGTTGTGGTGTTTTTTTGCAAATTGGCATGCCAGCTCCTTGAAACGTTCCAAAATGGGGGTGACCTGCGTTGTTTCGTTTAGCAGTTGATTTGATGGATTATGAAGTGGATTATCTGGGTGTCTCATTTTGGTGATTATTCTCAAACTACTCCGTTCAGCCACTTCTAGCTTACCTACAGTAGTTTTTTTTGCAATTTAGGTAGATTAGGAAGGCATATTCAATAATGGGCCTGCATATCATTTTATAGATTTTAATCGCAGTTTCAGGTTGTATACCGTTATTTTTGTATGTCAGGCTTCTGAAATGTTTGGCTCTTGTAATCATCTTGGTTTTCATTAATTTGGCATGTAAATTGAAATTGAGTTTGCTATCTAAATGTATTCCAAGGTATTTGCATGAATTAGATGGTCGTATTTGTTGATTAAACATTTTTATAGAGGGGGAATTTATATTTATTTTGTGATTGAATATTATTAGTTGAGTTTTATTGGGATTTGGTTTTATTCTCCACTTGGAAAAAAACTGGATTATATTATTGCAGAGATTTTGTAAGTGAATCAAAGTGAGTTTTAAATTTTTCTGGTGTGCAATTAAAGCTTTATCATCTGCGAATTCTAGAATATATGTGTTAGGATTAAATTGTTGAGAATAGATGTCGTATGTGAATAGGTTGTATAGAATGGGGGATAAAGGAGAGCCTTGCGGGACACCTTGTTGCATAGAAAATGATTTAGATAATTTTTGATTGTGTTTAACTAGACTCAGTCTATTTTTTAGAAAGTTATTTATAAAGTGAATTAGATATTTTGGACAATTTAAGCTGTATAATTTGTATAATAGGCCGGCATGCCACACACTATCGAATGCTTTACTAATGTCCATGAAGAGAGCTGCTGATTTGTTGCCTTTTAGATTGTTTGTTTGAACATTCGAAGTTAGAATAAGCAGTGGATGGATTGTGGAAGAATTTTTTCTAAAGCCAAATTGATGGGGTGGAATCTTGTCGTCTAGTTCTTCTTCTAGCCTTATTTTAATGATTTTTTCCAATGACTGGTAGTAAAGTAATTGGGCGAAAGTTGGTTGTTTTTGTCAGATCGCAATTCGGTTTAGGAATGTTTATTATAATTCCTTTTTTAAATTCTTGTGGATAGTATCGGTTTTTATTACAGTAATTATATATATCTAAAACTTTTCCATGGAATTCAGCACATAAGTTTTTAAGAGTCTTTTTGGAGATATGGTCATAACCTGGTGCTGTATTTTTGCCGGTATTTAGTACATGATAATATTCCTCTTCAGTAACTTCAGGCACTTCTCCAGGGTCGGTATGGTCGTTAAAGTACAACTCGTACCAGTCATTTATTTCTTTGAAGCTTTGATCATCAAAGTTTATATCTTCCGACATTTCATATATTTTCTTGTAATGTCTGCCAAAAGCATCTGCCACATCCTGGTCCTCATTGAGCACAACATTATTTTCTACAATTTCAACATTTTTATGAGTGTGCTTTTTGTAACCTGAAAGTTTTTTTATTTCTTGCCAATAGTTTTTGCCTTTTAAGTTACTTATATTCTTGCATGCTTCAAGATATTTGGTGGATTTATATTGCAAAATTAATATTTTAATGTCTTTGTTTAAATCATTGAATATAGATTTTAGGTTTTGGTTATCATATTTGTGGATTTCTCTAAGCATTTGTCTTTTTGTTCTTAATAATCTTAGTATGAAAGGAGGTAGTACTTGATTGTAAAAAGTTTTTGGTTTTTTAGGGGAGTTATCCAGAATCTTTTGGCAGGTAAAGTTGAGGAATTGTGTAATTATTGTTGGGTCTAAATTTTGCATGCTTTTTATATAATCGGTTAATTCTACATTTAGGTTTTCTAGGTTGCATTTGTTAAAATCGTATATCATTTCAGGAGAGGTATTTATTTTTGTTTGCAGGTTAAATGTTATTTCAATTGATTGGTGGTCTGAACATAAATCCGAAATAATATTTATTTTTTTTATATTATTTTTTATGTTATCTGTACATAATATTAAGTCTGGTGTTGTGCTTGCATTGTTTGTCATGATAAATGTAGGGGGAGTATCGATTTTAACAAAATTTGAGTTTTTAAGAAAATGTTGTAGTTGTTTATTTTTGTGAGTATTAGGATTGAAGTCTCCAATGATAAGGCAATATTTATAAAGTGCAGCTTTTATAAATACGGTACTATCAATTATCTCATTTGGATGAATGTATAAAAGAAGTACATACAATTTTTCATTTTGATACGGTAGTGTAAAATGTAAGCATTCATTTTTTATATTATTAATTTTTGGTGGATTGGCTTTGCCAAGATTAATTTCCGCCCTCGTTTGAACCATGCTTCCCCCTCTTATGTTTTCATTAAAGATATTACCTGGTTTTTGTATTGATTTCCATTGTGATGTTAAAGGTATTATATTTTTGAGTTTTGTTTCCACAAACATTGCACAATCGATATTATTTTTTTGTAAGTAATGACTTATTAAACTTTTTTTAGCTAGGTAGCTGTTTATTAAGATTATTTTGAGGATTTTTTAAATTTTTTTTTAGTTTTTATATTTAGAATTTAAAAGAAAATTGAAAAATTCCAATTAAATAGTTCTTAGGCATTTTGTAATGTTAAAAAAAGTTAAGGATTTCTATTTTCCCTTTCCTTTTCTAATGATTTTTATAAATTTTATTTATTTATATTTGTTTATATGTACTTCTTAATTGTTTTTTTAATTTGGTTTTATAAGATTCTAGTTTTTCACAATAATAATCTCATTCAATTTGTTTTAATATTATAGTTTTATTTTTGTTCCAGTATTATCAAAAGTAAACGTAAAATTCAAAAATACCGTTGGTTTTATAGGATTCTAGCTCTTCATAATAATATGCTCAGTCAATTTGTTTTAATATTAAAGTTTTATTTTTGTTCCAGTATTATCAAAAGTAAACGTAAAATTCAAAAATACCGTTATTCAAATGGAACACCTTCCACAAAACAGCTCGACAGGCGTGGGAATTGTGATACACTTCGACGAGTAAGCCCCATAGTTGTTACCATTATTGCCAACATAGCAAAATTTTAATTTTCCCCCAGGGTGGAATACTCGGACGAGTCGGCGAACGACCCGCCGTGCGACGAAGCCACAGACCTGACCAATCAGGACAAAACAAAGTCCTACCTCGTAAATTCCTACACAACAAAAAGGTTTTCAATTAACAAGGTTTCGTTTTCCACAGTAGAATTTTCTCGCACACACAGAACTTTCTCGCCCTCTATGATGTCGCAATCGCAATTCGACGAGCCGATGGCGGCGCCGAGAAACGAAATTTTGTTTGGACAACTTTCCAGCAAGCAAGAGGTAATTTAAATGGGGTAGTTAAATTTTTTCTGACCTATACTTTTTATGGTTTTGTTCAAGGCGTTTTGTAATATTAAACATTACTGTGAAATCAGAATTTCAATTGAGTTTACCGTTTTCGAGATATTTACAAAAAATATAAATTTTTATGACGTCACAAACCTCGCCATGTGACCAACATTCTAAGATTTCTATTGGTTGAAAATTACCCTGTTGTCAAGTTGTCTTGTTAATGATTTCATTCGGTTATGTCAGAAAATACCCGAAGAGGTTATGTACAAATACTGTCACTGTCAGATGAGTGAAAGATGGTCACCAAATTCATTAAGTACCTATCTTCCTTATTACGAGGTATCATATTATTACTGTTTGATATTTTAGAGTCCAAGATATATCTAAAAGAATATAAAGAACTAGGCATTATACTAATAAAATGTGATTATAATTATAGGTACTTACTTTATTTGTTTAAAAGCTTCAATGTTCAATGTAACCAACCATTCCACAAGATTCCTCTGCTTTGGTGTCCGTTATTAATAAATCACTTATCTAATATCAATTACAAATAACATAACAATAACATTGATTTTCAATAATCTAAATTTAAGAAAAAACATAACCCGAAAAAAAGAAACGTCAAAAAATCAATTCTTCTTCTTCTTCTCAACTAAAATTATAGATCAAGTAGTTTTAAAACTAAAATATTATAACGTGGCGCCATCTATCGTAAGAATCTTAAACTAAACACACTGGCAACCATAGAAAAAGCTGGCAACGTTGTCAATAGCCTAGTGACGTAATTAGGAAAACGGTAAACTCAATTGAAATTCCGATTTCACAGAAATGTTTAAAATTACAAAACGCCTTGAATAAAACCATAAAAAGTATAGGTCAGAAAAAATTTAACTACCCCATTGTAAAATGTTTTTTTACTTATTTAACATTTCCTTTGTTATTTTTAGATAAGAGTAAGGTTAAAACAGTCAGAAATACTGAATGGCCCCAAAGTTTCAATTGAAATGAACTTAGGTCCCTTACTATTATTTTTATCTCCCAGACAAGTTCATGTCTTGATTGAGCTGGCCAATGGTATGTCAAGTCCTGATTTGGAAGACACAAGGTAAATAATAATAATTAATATTTTCCAAATACAAAAAAAATACAAATTTTAGCAATGTTGCTCCAAAAACAAAGTGTGTTCAAAAACCCATGACAGGGTCGGATTTTCAACGAATAGAGCAGGAGTTACAGCAAACTATTTTTACCAATGCAAATTCTAAAATTACTGGTCTACAAGGTGCCCAAGGCTGGTCTACAGCGCCTTTAGGTAAGAGCTTTAATTAACTTTAAAATTATCAAAAAAAAAAAAAAAATTAAATAAGGACAAGTACTAAGGAATAAGCCAAGAAAATAGGATTTTACCTTTAAAAAAATAAAGAATTCTGTTCCTTATGTAAATTTGAATAAAAATGTTCGAAATATGAGGCTGAAAAAAGTTGAAGCAAAGTACTTTTTTGTTCTTGCCAAATTTCTAAAACATTTATTAAAATGTTGAAAACGCATTTTAGGAAGTTAAAAATATATTTTCAAAAGTTACAAACATTATGCAATGCCAGGCTATTTTTGAATTTATAACAAAAATGTCAAGATTGATATTAAGAAAACGTGGAAATTTAAATTCTGTCCCATAGGAATATTTAACACAGGATAATTAATTTTCGTTTTTTCTCCCTACATTCTATGTAGCAACTTTTTTTTTTCATATTATTTACTGGTGATCCTTTTCTACAAAAAATGTTATGGGAGTCAAATTGTTTATATTTTACTAAAGGACTGGAAAATGTAAATTTATAAAAATTACGTGTTTTTTAAATTTTTAAACTAAACTATTGATGATAACCCAAAAAGTCATAAACCGCCAAGTCTTATTTTTATGAATTTTTTAATGTAGCAGTTAAACTATTTATAGGTAAAAAAGTTAAAAAACAATTTTATAGTACTATGCTACACACCCAAAAGACCCACCTTGACATTTGAATACAAATAATTAAGGTTATTCAGCTAATTTCGACTACAAAACTACATTTTTATATTTTTTGTGTATAAGGGTCTTAATTTAGAGGGAATTTATTTATTAAAATACCGACTTGATGATAAAAAGATCTTCTGTTTGTCAAATAATAAATAGACAATTTGCAGTTATTTTCCTGAAACTCGGCTTTATTTGATGATTTTGTAAATTTTCGTCACTTGTTCGTCAATTTTCTAAATACCAAATCATTATTTTATATTCAATAATACTAAAAACTAATTTTCTCACTCTTATACCTATATAAAATTGTTGCAGCCAGCAAAATCTTCCAAACTCGGTATTTTAATACCCCTCTAAATTAAGATTTTTAAACACAACAGTACATGTAATATTTTCAGAAAATAAAGAATAATTTCAATTATTTGTGTACAAATGACAAGTGGGGACTTTTGGGTGTGGAGCATAGTATTTTAAAACAGGGTTTTTTTTTCGAAAAAAAAACCGAACAAATTGTGAAAATTTAGAAAAATTGACATGCCTTTTTTTATTTAAAAGGTAATGGAAAAAATGCAAAAAGTCAATTTTTATTATTTAATATTATGATGAATATAATAAATATTCATTCCTTCCTTTTATTTTAATTCAGTAAGATCTGGCCGCAAAAGGAACATATTTGGTGCTTTATTAACATAACTTTCGTTTTATTTGACACTGATTTATAAACTTATAATATTTTAATTGGATATTTTCAATGGACAGTATATTTTACATTTATTTTTATTTTCTTAAAACAATTTAATTCAATTCAATTCAATTTTGTTTTTTCTGTAATAAAGTATTTTTTTTTAAATTAAAATGTTAAGATGTTATGACCATTCATTGAATCGGTGAGATTAAGAACAGTCCAAAAGCCAAAATTTGGACAAAAAATTTCAAAAAATTACTTTTATTACATGCATTTTTGTGGGAATATTTTAACCATTTTATAAAATATAATGTTCATATTCTGTAAAATGATTTATATCTTCTCACAAAAATGTATTTTGAACTTACCTCAAAATTAAATTTTTGGACTTGTACTGTTCTTATTCTCACCGATTCAATTGTACTATAAAGTTTCTTTTTAATTTTTTGACCTGACGCGTTATTTTTAAAAATTAACAATTTTTAAGTCCTTTTGTGAGTAGAATGCTCTTTAAGAATCATCAGTGATTTTTATGAAATAAAAGTGAATGAGGGAAGAAAAAACAAAAAAAAGCTGGCGTTATTTCTGTGGGAAATTTTTATTTTGACGTTTTCTATGGAATTTTCATGGGAGAGCGAAAAAAATTCTCCTTTTTGGCTCACCCTAATGTCACATAAACAAATGTAATATCCTATTAAAAACTCGATATTGGCAAAATGACGAGAATTAATTTTATAATAGTTTTAAAACCATTTTTTTTTTATTATTTAGAAGTTTTTTCTATAGATGGGTGATTATCCAGAACGGAGCAAATATGCTGAAACTCTTAAATAAAATATACTAATGAAAGTAGTTAGCATTTAAATAACACTACAATAGACAGTTTATGTCTAGCAGTAGAACGTACTTAACCAAAAAATAAAACATTATTTATTTTATTAATTTGAATTTGCTTAAACGCATTAAAGTCAACTCCATGGACTGCCACCACCTAGCGTAGGGACAACAAATCATCCATATACTATTAGACTAGATGTAATTGTGAAATGATTCTTTCATATTGCATTTCCTCTAACTTGGAATGTATAAAAAAACACAACCAAAAGCAAACTTATTGATATTTTAACCCAAAATGTCGAATAAAGCATGAGACACCATTTTACAGCTGAGTTCTTTGCAGTATTTTAATATATGATAAATCCCCTGTATAAAACGTATTTTAGTAATGTTTGAAGACTTCGTCGTTTAAGTGATTTAATGTTGATTTGTGTAAGCAAGGCAAAGGGGGTGTAATATTTAATAAAAATTTATAAAGAACAATTATTTGCGAAAAAACGGCTAAGTATTTTTATTAAAGATCAACTCCATGTCTTTAATAACAAAGGGATTTAAATACAATTGAAATTTAAACTTTCTTCAGGTGAAATAACCAAATATGCTTTGCTTAAATTGCAGTTGACTAAAGATACATTATGAACCATTTTCTAAAGTTTGTGACTTTAACTATAAAAACATCAACTCCATGGACATCAACTCCATGGGGTTAAAAGGTATACATATATGTCCATAGTTGTTTACTTTCTTATTATTGCCCTAAACTCTTAGCTCATATAAGTTAAGGCATTATTAACGATAATTAATATAATATAGTTAAATTATAATAAATTAAATTTATTTTTTGTTAAATAATAGAAAAGTATTAAGTTTAATTTATAGCCGCCTTAAAATTACTTTATGTTATTAAGAAATACACATTGAGGTATTATTTTGCTAGTGTTTTATTAATCTTTGCTTTTTATTTTTTTACCACCCCAATTTATCCCCGTTTTGGATATTCACCCAGATAACAAAAAAAATTGACTTTTTTGGTTAAAAATGCATTTTTTTATCTAGACGAAAGTGACACAGAAGAAAACTTCTTGCCAATAAAAAACGCGACCGGAATGTGCGGGAGCACATTTTCCGGACACAGCAGCAGTATGGAGTCAAGTTTGACGTCCAGCATGGCCAGTTCCATGACGGAAAACACTCATAGAACCAGAAAAAGAAGTAAGTAAAAGCTACTTTAGTTCGAGTCCTAAACAATAGTTATTTATGTCATTAGGTTAAGAAGTAAGGCTTTTTGTGCTAAGCTCAAGGTTTGAAGGCCGACGCGTAGCGGAGGCCTACAATTGAGCGAAGCACAAAAAGGCACTTCTTGGCCGAATGGCATACAACATTTTATCTTCAAAGCACTTTATATAGGTCAATTTAATTCAACATCAAAGCGGCCTAACCTCACTTTTTTAAAATCTCATTTATTTATTAGCTAAAGATTACATTAAATGTACAATAATTATTATTGCTTTTAGAAGCAGTAATAGTTTGACAATACCTAGCTACATGATTTAAAAATTGACTTTTGCTATTACATTGAATTCAATTAATTGTTTAATAAATAGGTAGGTATCTAATTTCAATTTGTTTGGATTTTTATTTAAAAAATAGGTTGTTTGAACTGTTTAAGCTGTGTTTAACATTTAATTTCACTGAAAACTTAAAGCAAATTAAAACTTAAGGATAATTTAAATCGTAGAAAAAGAATCGTGCGTTTTCTTGGTTGCCTAACCTCACTTTTTGTTTTATTATTCATATTTAATTTTACAATAATTTAACAAAAAATATTAGACATTAACAGTAAAACAAACAAATTAGTGCTTATTATAAATAAATTAAACCAGTTTAGTACGTTAATTTCTTAAAAAAGGGTTAATTTGTCAAAACAATACCCCTAGCGAGAAAAAATCGAACTAATTACTTAACAAGGTATTTCTTTATCGAATGTTGACAACAATAAATTTTAAATTATAATTTATAACAGGCCGACAAAAATAAATTTTCTGTTTGGTGCATGGCAACCAACAACTTTTTAAGGGTAATTTAGGTACGCTGAATCCAAAAATTAACATCATTTTGCTCAATCACCTCTTGTTTTTGCGATGTAGAATAGAAACCATTTTTTTCGATATGCGCACATTCAAATTCTTATTTATATTTTTTTAAACTTCCAATTTAAGCAAGGATAGTTGGTAATGTTGCTATGGGTCTTTATTAAACTAAAAAAAATACCATATACATTGATAATCGTATTCTCATACAAAATAGTGCTTTAATCGAAAGAAAATCGTTTTCTTAGCCAAAACTCGGATATTTTTAAAATTCAAAGTGATACAGCACGATCAATTTTTGCCCGATTTAAATAAATTTACCCTATTTGTAGCTCTATTTATCTACTTTACAGTGTTAAAATTTCAATGCAATCAAAAATTGAATGAGAGTAGTGCTGCCGTGCTAAGCTAAACCCCCGTATCTGCAATATTAAATAAAAGATCATTTTCATTGTTAAAAATAATAAAAACTATATTTTGTCCTTTAGTGTTTAATATTGCAGATACGGGGGTTTACTTTAGCACGGCAGTGTATGATAGTAGAGTATTGAGAGCAGCAGCAGATACTTTACTCATACTCTCATACACTAAAACTAATAGAGAAAAAACAATAATATTTTTGACATCTTCTTATTAGACATACTTAAAATCAGGTCTAAAATCCTAGGAACAAAAATTGTCCACTTAAATAGGCTCTGTGAATATTTATAGCTATTCACAGAGTTTATTTAAGTGGTACACGTAGTACCCAATTTTGGTTGATTTTATTGCCATGTTGCCAATTTTTATTTGATTGCACTGCAATTTTATCACAATGAATTAGATAAATAGAGCTACAAATAGGGTAAATTTTATTTAAATCGGGCAAAAATTGATCGTGCTGTATCACTTTGAATTTTAAAAATATCCGAATTTTGGCTAAAAGTGGGAGAAAAAGGATGTACACTTTGCACAAAATGCACTAGTGTGCTACACTGATGGCTCTCGTATGGCGAGTACACTGTCTTCAGGGGCAGGTTTCTGCGTGGAGGACAGGGATATCCAAAGGAGCTACCCGCTCGGAGGATATACCACTGTCTTTCAAGCGGAAGTGTTTGCCATACTTGAGGTTGCAAACTGTGAGGATATAAGAACAGGGAGTGAGACAGATATATACATCTGCTCAGATAGCCAAGCAGCTCTGAAAGCGCTTTGGGCAGCGAGAACCACATCGAAGTTGGTTCAAGAGTGTGAGGAAGCGCTGGAAAAGCTAGCAAGTACAAAAAGAGTGCATCTCGTATGGGTACCAGGTCATAGTGGGGTTGAGGGTAACGAACGGGCTGATGAGTTTGCCAGATTGGGATCTGAAACCCCCTGTGTAGGACCCGAACCAATTTTTGGAATCACGAGAAAGCAGGTCAAATCAGCCCTAAATAATTGGGCTGATAAAAGAGCGAATGAAAGCTGGAGAAGAAGCGGTGGCTGTAGGCAGACCAGGGATTTTCTGGTCACCCTAAGCAAACCCAAATCCATCTGGCTTCTAGGTAGAAGCCGAACCTCCTTGGGCCCACTTGTGAATATACTCACAGGTCATGGCCTAAGGAAACACCTCACAAGAATAGGGGCTGAAACCAGCCCCTCCTGTACCCAGTGCGGAAGGGAGGATGAAACCTCCTTTCACTTCCTGGGACAATGTGAGGCCCTCGGCAGACTAAGGTATAAAATCTTTGGAGTGATGACACTCCAAAGGGAAGAGTTGGCCTCTCTTGCCTGGCAGGATATCCTGACCTTTATAAGAAGGTCTGGAAGATTCGAAAGGGCTGGTATGGGCGAAGAGGAAGATGAGGAGTAGTCTGGTTGGTTTAAGAGGGGCAGATAAAAAGGACCATGGAGTCTAATTGTCAGGCTTCGAGCCTACCCAACCGTACTACTACTACTACTTGGCTAAAAAATCGATTTTCTTTCGATGAAATATTTTTTTGTGTACATCGCAAAAGCAAGAGCTATTAAGCAAAATGATAGTCATTTTTGGATTCGGCGTACTCAAATTAACCTAAAAAAGTTGTTGTCTACCCTGCACCAAAATGGCTGTCGGACAGTGTTATAGACCGCGTGGAGATAAAAGCTATTGTTTCTTTCAGTGTCCAACATAGACACGGATCCCAGGACGGAGATATCGCACTTCCAAATAAGACTGGTCTCGATGGCTTTAGTGCTGGTGCACGAGGACGTCTTGATCCAGTCATCGGGCAACGAGGTCCTGGTGCAATCGAGCGTGAAGCAAATGCAGAAAATATCCGCAGACTTCTTCGAGGCCGCGTGCGACGTGATTTTGTCGGCTTACGGCGCAGCGCACTTTCAGGTAGTGATGTAAAAAAAAACGTTTTTTTCAAATTTGGAAAAAAACGTTTAAAAAAAACATGTTTTTTTACAGAAAAAAAACAAAACATTGTTTTTTTTTCAAATTATAAAAAAAATTGCACACCGTTTTTTTTTTCAAATTATAAAAAACAGTTTTATAATAATTAAAAAAGCGTTCGTTTTTTGATTTATAAAAAATGTACAAAACAATGTATGACAAGTGTCGCCATCTGTTATTAACAGATCGCTATAATCATAGAAATGAGTATCTTCAATATCGTATATTAAAGAACTAATGTCATAAGACGTCATTTTGTCGCACACGGACAATTTATAAAACGAGCGACGAAGGAGCGAGTTTTATAATGGACAAGTGCGACAAAAGGTCTTATGACATGAGTTCCTTATGCTATTTTATCTATTTTGCAAACATTTCATAAAACAAATTAATTGTATACCTTATATTTAATTTGGTCGAATTTTACTTTACATAGTTGGTATCTCAGTTTGAAGTTTGAAAGGTCATTAACCTTTCAAACATTATCACATTCTTTCGCTATAGCGTCGTTAATTTACAATAAGTATTTACAATAAGCGGCTGTTAAAGAAGAAAAAAGGATTTTCTTTGGTGTTAAACAAAATTTATTGCACGAAAAGTCTCGTAAGTACTAGAAAACAAATCATAAAAATATTATAACCTATAGGTATTCAATATTTTATTTTACTAGTAGCCAACCTATAAAATCAAAATTTTGGGTGGAATAAAGTACCTCATTAAAGAACCAAAAGCGGTGTTATAATGAAGTCATTATGAACGCGAAATAGATAAAAATTAATATCGATGCACACCGTTTTTTTTTGTTTTTTCAAATTATAAAAAACAGTTTTATAATAATAATTATTAAAAAAGCGTTCGTTTTTTGTTTTATAAAAATTTTATAGATAAAAACTATTTTAGTCAAGTTTTAATTTTCATAGACACTCATGTATGTTTATTTTAGAAGCAAGTTTTTATTTGGTGTTTTTATTTAAAACCCTCTATTATAAATAACGATTACCCATTTTAAAGTTTCAAAATTTTTCTGATTTAAGCTTATTTTTTTCCCTTATAATCTCTACAGGGTGTTATGTAATTAATGTTATATATTAAAATGGGTTGTTCCTTTGGGTCCATAAAGAAGCACCTGAAACTTTTTTTTTCTAAATTCCAAAGTCTAAAAATAATTTATAATAACCTTTATCCTATCAAAAAGTACGCCACTGATCGACTAGGAACTTTAGGTTAATCTTGTGGATTTATTATGTTATGGTTGGTAACAACAGTTTTTCCAAAATCTCTCAAAAAAGTTGACAAACATTGTTTAAATTTAGCTTAATTACAAAAATGACAAAATTAACAATGCAAATTATCAATTTGGCGTTTTTATTAATTGCAATTGTTGGTTATTTCATTTTTGTACTGAAGGTAAATTCAAACAAAATCTGCCAACTTTTATGACAGAATCTAGTGCATTTCTTTTAAATTTTAGGTTATGTTTTCAAATTGTAAATATCTTAACTAAGGGAAGTGCTTTTGGATTTATTTACCCAAATTAAATGTTTAAAGTTTAACCTGTGAACTGGTCCCAATTTCATCTGAGTAAACAGAGAAAAAAACTGATGAAAAAATTAATTTTGTGGTTATGGATTTCAAATTTCAAAGGTACTAAATTTTCTAATCATTGCTTAAGCTAATAGCTGGATCAGTAAATAAATACAGAAGGGTATTAGAGCTTTAAGGGCATAAAACTTTTGTATTTATTGAGTTTTTATTTATTTTTTGCAAGAAAAATTTTTAGTAACAATTTTTTACATCTGGCAACGCATAGCTACTTTGTTGGTTGGTATCTATGTACCTTAGTTTTTTGTTCTAAGCTATGAACTCACAAAATACAGGTGTGCAGAGATAAACAAGTGTGTAACCAGTGGCGTATCACAAAAAATATAAAAAACTTCTAATGCATATTTTTTTTTTATCTTTGGAAAAATGCTTTTTAAAATATTTTTCCTTTATTCCTTATGTCAAAAGGTATTCAGTATTTTAATATATAACATTAATTACATAACACCCTGTATTAAGGAAAAACAATGTTTCTGAAAAAAAACATTTTCGAAAAAAAAAAACAAACCCCTTTGTTTTTTTTTCTAAAAAATACATGTTTTTAAAAAAAAAACAAAACGTTTTTTTTCTGCTCACATCACTACTTTCAGGACGCCGAGAACGTTCTCGACCGCGCATGCTCGGTGAATCACTTGAGGTTGCTGGCGGTGCCAGTGCAGGTCGAGTTCGACGAGAAGACGAACTTGTCCGCTTTCTCCATCGGCGGGCATTTGACGGCGGCCAAGTTCGAGTTCGAGGAGTGCATTTGCGATTCGGGCAGGAATCCCGTTCAGCACGTAAAGCTGTTGACGTTCAAAAACGCGCCTGCCGGTGGTAATGTTAACGCTGCCAAGCCCGACCTGACTTTGAATTTCAAGCATGTCGATAAGACGTCCAAGAATGGGCTCAATGTTAGAAAGAATGGGAGCAGAACGGATGTAAAGTAAGTAATTTATTTTATTATAGGAAATAAACGACCGTTTTTCAGAAATTTAAATGATTTTTTAAGCTTTTATCACCGGGTTTTTTTTATTTTAAATATACACTCACGTGCAAAATAATCGATCCACACAAATTTTCGATGAATGAATTCAATCGTAAATAACTTTTTTATTTGATGTCGGATTTAAACGAATATTAAAGAATATTGTAGATAAATTAATGGACAATCGCTCACATTTTAAAAAATTACTAAAAAATAGACGTACGTTTGTAATATACAGGTTTAAACAAAAAGATGTTTTTTACCATGAGTTTAAGACACTCTGTAGACTGGCAAAACCGTATATTTTTCTAAATTAAGTTTTATTTATCAAGTCGCATCTATTCTTAACAGTTTTGTTTTTGGTTCACCTCGATATATTTATTTTTGTGGAAAATATGGAATTTTTTAAAAAACATTGCAATTTCCAATATTTTTCCTGTATGAAGAACTAAGGTTGCTATGGTCCATCCATAGCCTATGGAGAATGACAGTGACAGTTTTGTTGAATCATCCCATACTTGGACATGTCATATACAGCTTTCTAAAGCTATCAAATTGTTTTTTGTAAGTTAATGTGTTAATTTTGAGGTGTCTTCTTACTTTTAAAAATGTCTCCGACTGATGTGGCCCTTTGTACTTTACTTCTTATGACGTTTAAAACACTTGCCACGTAATACTGTGACCGTCCATCCTGGATTAAATTAATAGCTCTAGAGCCAGCTGGCAACATCAGTCGGAGACATATCCATTTTATAAAGTAAGAAGACACCTCAAAATTTAAACATTAATTTGCAAAAACAATTTGATAGCTTTTGAAAGCCGTTTATGACATGTCCAAGTATGGGATGATTCAACAAAACTGTCACTGTCATTCTCCATAGCCTAAGGATGGACCATAGAAACCTTAGTTCTTCATACAGAAAAATATTGGAAATTGCAATATTTTTAAAAAAAAATCCATATTTTCCACAAAAATAAATATATCGAGGTGAACCAAAAACAAAACTGTTAAGAATATATGTGACTTGATATAAAACTTAATTTAGAACAATATACGGTTTTGCCACTCTACAGAGTGTCTTAAACTTATGGTAAAAAACATATTTTTGTTTAAACCTGTATATTATAAACGTACATCTATTTTTTAGTATTTTTTTAAAACGTTAGCGATTGTCCATTATTTTATCTACAATATTCTTTATTATTCGTTTAAATCCGACATCAAATAAAAAAGTTATTTGCGATTGAAATTCATCGAAAATTTGTGTGGATCGATTATTTTGCACGTGAGTGTATTTAATAATAATTTGTTATTCTTAGCTTTACTCACATAACACAAAAATTGAATGAATATTTTTGCAAAATAAGCTAAATTTTTAAAAATATTAGTCATTATCATTTAAATGCCTCTAAAAGGTTTTTACAACATTTAGATGTCCCACTTCTTATATACAGTGTGACCCATTTATTTGCGACTCACCCATGTAAAATCTTTATTTATTGTGCGATTTTGTTTTAAAATGTAGATCTTGATAAGCTGTATTTTTGGAGCAAACCGCCATATTTGTACAAAATACAAGGCCTTCTATGTCAGTTTTTAAGAGTAAATTTTTAAGAATTCATATTAGCGATTTTTTTAAACAAAATCTAAGCACTTTATTCACCAAAACAACCCTTTACTAAATTTTATTGAAAAATTTTAAGTAGAAAAATGCACAATAATATCTTTAAAAATTTATTCTGTCAAGTTATCCATGAAAAAAACATTGAAATAAAATTAAACTTATAGTAATAGTACCATGTTACTATAAGTTTAATTTTATTACAATTTTTTGTTTCATGGATAACTTGACAGAATAAATTTTTGTAGATATTATTGTGCATTTTTCTACTTACAATTTTTCAATAAAATTTATTATAGGGTCGTTTTGAGTGCCGTGCTTAGATTTTGTTTAAAAAAATCGCTAATATAAATTCTTAAAAACTGACATAGTAGGCCTTGTATTTTGTACTAATATAGAGTTTCTTGTTCCAAAAATACAGTTCATCAAGATCTACACTTTAAAACCAATCCGGTTAAAATCGCACAATAAATAAAGATTTTACAGGGGTCGCAAACAAATGGGTCACACTGTATATATTACAATATTTTTTCACATTTTTAAATTGTAAAGGTTTTATAGAGTATGTCCACGGATAGAGGGCTCAAGAGGACAAATGGACTAAAATTTTCATTTTTCGACCAAAAGTCATTCTTCATAAAAAGTTCTGCTTGTTTTGAAAAGTCTATTGCCATACTTTAAATTTAAAAATATTATACTGGGGGTCGGAAAACAAGAAAACATGAAATACTATCAAGAGTATACTACCTTTATTTTTCGTTTTGGAGCAAAGTAACAAATAAAAATCCTATCCAAAGACTAATTTTAAAATTTCAACTTGATATTCCAAATTTTATTATTTTTTTAAGTTTTAAAATTCAATTTCTAATTTATACTTTTGTACCTCATTTCACGTATTCTTTACATATGTATGACAAAAATATCACAGTTGGCACAGCCTGCAAAAAATAATAGAATAAATTAAAATAGTTTAAAAATCTTGTTTAAAAAAAATTCTGCAATGTTTTTAGTCTCACAATAATTTCAATATAAATTTCAAAGTAAAAAAATAAAGAACCTCCTACGAAATAAAAATGGACTAAATTTAAATTCAACTAACAAAATTATATGTAAAATGTAATCGTCGGGTAAAATATTTCAATGTTACAAAAAATGCTTATCAAATTAAAATGTATCAAAATATAATTATTATTATGCCTAGACATAATTTTAAATAATTATTATTATGCCTAAACATAATAATACTTTACTATTTTTCCTGTGTGTTTCCATTAAATTTGAATTAACTTTATGCTTGACATAATTTAATTTAATTTAATTATTATTTTGTCAGACATAATTAAAATTATAAAAAATTATATTTTCCATAGTTTAAAAAAAACTTTACTTCAATTTTCTTTTACATTTAAAACATTTACAATTAAAAACTGAAATGGCGTGCCATAGAACTAGAAAAAAAACGGTTTTTTTTTGTTTTTTTTTTTCAAAATAAAATTTTAAGTAAAATATTAATAATAAAGTGAAATACAGAATATATTACATTTTTCATTATTGAAAATTTTGACCGAGACTAAAAAATCTGATTTCTTATTATTTGGTAGTTTCCACATTAGAAACCAATAGCAACTTCTATACTAATACAAAAAATTAAAGGATAAAAAATTTTTGCGATTCTTCGGATATACTAAGTATCTTTGTTAAAAATGGTCGTATTGGAGCCGTAAAAAAAGCAATTTAAATCTTGAAGTTTCTAGTTTTGAGATTTTTAGATAAAAAATGTGTAACGCTCAATCCTAACGAATACAGTAATAAAAAAAACGATTTTTTTTGCTATTGCTTTTTTGAAAAAAAAATCTCTACATAAATTTGAAAAATTTGCTTTTGCTTTGGTAGCTTTTTGAAGAATCAATCGCTGAATCAAAAATATTATATGTAGTTACTTTTTTAGGACCAAATCAAAACAAGCGCGGCCCTTATTGGTCAATTCGGTGGTGGTGGCGCGTGCATAACGCGAGACTGTATTTACATTTACTAATTGTCATTTAGTGACTAATTTTAGTCCATGAACTGGACTGGAAACTTAAAAATTAGGCAATTGGGACTAATCTTGAAAAAAAACCTAAAATGTGAAAAAAACCATTTGAAAAAAAAACAATGAAAAAAAAACCTGAAAAAAAACAAAAAAAAACGGACCGTTTTTTTCAAGTCGCATCTCTATTTGTATGGTATTTTAAAATCATTTACCATTTCTGTTCAAGCTATTTTTTATAATAACTTAAAAATTAGGCAATTGGGACTAATCTTGAAAAAAAAAACTAAAATGTGAAAAAAAAACCATTTGAAAAAAAACAATGAAAAAAACCTGAAAAAAAACAAAAAAACGGACCGTTTTTTTCAAGTCGCATCTCTATTTGTATGGTATTTTAAAATCATTTACCATTTCTGTTCAAGCTATTTTTTATAAAATTATAAATTATAAATAATTTTTAATACTACGTAACAACAATTTTTCATAAAAATATATCCAAAAAAAATCCAATGTTTTATCCCTGTTTTAGTATACAGCTACAAAACTGCTTAGTAGAATTGGACTTTACCATAGTAGATCGAATAAATGCTTTAATAAACTCGCCACCCATATGTGTAATAGAAAACTCAACATCTAACCTATGGAATACCCCTTTAACCAACGAAGTCCTATCCAATAGTACTGTTGACTCGAAAGTGGATGTCAAAATTGCTTGCGACTCAATATCTGTAATACTAAGGTAAGAATTACACCTAATAACGTAAAAAAATATTCACATAAATGTGTTTTAGGTTTCCTATTACAGACTTTAGACCTCTCAACAATCTAAACAGGATAGAGTGGTGGAAACGGAACGTGAGGTCCGATTATTTGGTTCTCAATCTTTTGGAGGCCTCGTTTCAAACGACGGTTTTGAGTGGCCAGCAGTTTCAGGAGTACGAAGTGTCGTGCCAAGGTTTGAACATTTCCTACCACGAATCGGAAGGAAGTCCGGCAGTGCACGTGGCCAAAAGCGGAAGCGAAGACGGCGGTCATTCTATGTTGCCGGATGAACTGCAGAAGTCAAGGTTAGAGATTTATTTTAAAAATTTAAGTAACTAAATGGTTACCTAACCTTTTTGGTTATTCTACATAATTGGTTTTGGAACAAAAAATTTAGAAAAATAATTCATTAATATACATTTATTTTTTAAACATTCTAATCGATTTTACTTATCTCAGCAAACACAACCGTAAAGGTTCTATAATGGCCCTTTATAAACGTGCCTTTAATGAACTATAAAGGCCAACTCTAATGGAAAAATCTCAGTTTACGTCTTCAAGGGTTTTTCGAAAAAATATCAAAAGCCCATTTATTTAATAATACATAAAACGCTTAAAAAAAAACTTTTATAGGGAATTTTTTTTATAAAATAAAAAATATGCTATGAAATACCGTATTTTTGTAACTATACCCTGAAAATAATAATACAAAAAACGCTAAAAAAAAACTTTTATAGGGAATTTTTTTTATAAAATAAAAAATATGCTATGAAATACCGTATTTTTGTAACTATACCCTGAAAATGTTGTACAATTCAAACGAACAGTAACGAAAATACAGCGCTTCAAAGTCGTCAAAAATGACCACTTTTCAGCAAAATAATCAAAAAGGGGTCATTTTTACCGACTTTGATGAAGCGCTGTATCCAAAGATAATATCTTTGGCTGTATCTTCTATACTGTTCGTTTGATTAGTACAAATACTAACAAAAATGCGGTCTTTAACAGCATATTTTTTATTTACTTAAAAAAAATTCCTAAAAGTTATTTTTAGAACGTTTTTTTTTTTATTAAATAAAAGGGCTTTAAGGATATTTTCTCGAAAAACCCTTGAACACGTAAACTGAGATATAACTTGAAGTATTTTTATACAAAATTTCATAAAGATTGGAAAATGCCTTTTAGATTAGAACCATTCCAATTTTGGCGCTAAAGGTTCTGATATGGCAGATTAAAGGTACAAATATGGCAAAGTAAAGTTATGGATAAGTGAAGTAATCTTGAAGTAATCCGAAATTGTTATCCCTACTGTCACAATAAATATAAACAAACCACATTTAATCCACCATAATAAATACTTTACTTATCCATTACATTAATTAATATATTTTTTGAAAATTAATACTAAAACATTCATAAATTTACAAGATAAAATACAAAACAATTTGTTTAAATAAAGACCTGTATAAGTAAAACATAAAAATTATTTTAAAAAACTGTTTATTAGGTAATAAATGCAATCCATAATATTTAAATAAATAAATAAAATCCTTAAACTAAACAGAAAATATTTAAGATTAAAATATATACTTATTTACTTGATTTTTTTGGTATTTTATAAATTTAGAACCATTAGATATTTTTATTATTTTAAATAGTATAACACACTATTAAAACTATAGGTCGTCATTTTTAAAATATGGCGTTAACGAAAGGTTCATGTAAGCCGATGGCACTTCAATGGTTTTTAAATTCCCTTTAACTTGATACTGGGAATTGCCATATATGGTCAAAAATGCCATTATTAAGCTATGAAACTATGTAATGGGCCATTACATAATCAGACTTATGTGTTTGCTGGCATTATATTATTTGTATATATTTTTATTACAGATTATCAATTAAATTCTTCCCGACTAAAAAATGCGATTTGGACGACCTATCCAATAAACCTGAAGACATTTCCACTCACTCAATGTGTTCATTTTTCGTTAACCCAAACAAGTTAACGGCGCCGTTTTCTTCTGTTAAAGTTGTACATGAAAGTGATACTCCACATTCTAGAAACAAAGGTAAATTATTTTCTATAGTTTTTATGTCATTTTTTTTCGCAAAACATAATTGGTTAACTGGTTTACAAATTAATAAAAATGGAATGTACATTTGGTGCCATACATAAAAAATATTGTGATTTTCGAGTTTAGCAAAATAACATACATTAAAAAATATTAGTGGCATCAAATGTACATTTTGGCTTTAACCAGTGTTTTTACTAGGATTTTAGTTTTATTAACTATTTATCTACGCTAATCATAACATTAGGTGTAATGAAATCTTTTGTTTCAAAATGGATTTTATTTGACCCTGATTTTATTTTACCTATTTTACGTAAATTTTTATTTTTAAGAGAAATTGACCTAATTTTTAAATTTACCACCTAAAATAGTGTGATTTGACCTATTTCACCTAAATTCTTATTTTTAATAGAAATGAAATTTTCAAATTTTACAAAAACATGCTTTTTTGTAAAATTGTGGTTGTCGTATTTGTACATTTTGTACATTTCTATCATAATACATTTGAATTTTGACGTCAGCAATTGTATGCTCATTTACAAAAACATTTTGTACAGCTGCCTTAAAAAATTATAAAATTAAAATGGTTTTTTGATATTTTTACAAGTTATTTTCAAATCATAAAAATCTTGTTCATTAAAATTGTATACAATAAGAAATTAAATAATTTTACCACCTAAAAGTTGTTTTCCAGCACCTATTTTCGAAAAGAACCCAATTTAAGAATTTTCTCACCTAAAACAAGAAAAAAGTTTACCTATTTAGGTACCTATTTTTATAAATTTTGCAACCTAATTCCATCTCTAGTTATTACACTGTAAGATTTAACAGTTCGGTAAAAGGGGGAAAAATTGTTACCAAAAAAACATGAAACTAAATTGATATAATAATATATCGATGACTTTCTGCCAAAGTATCGCAAGAAACATAACTGAAATTTCGGGAATTGAAAACAATTTTTGTTTTAAAGTCTGTTTTAACTTAAATATAGTCTAAAGGTTTTATAAAAAGTAAATAGCTTATAATTATATCTATTTACTTGTTATAAACCCTACAGGTTATATATGGTTTAAAACAGACTTAAAACAAAAAATGTTTTCAATTCCCGAAATTTGAGTTATGTTGCTTGCGATACTTTGGCGCAAATTCATCGATATAATAATTTTTTTTAAATAAAATTACCGTTTTTATTTTAATTTTTCTCGGTGTTTACCGGGCAATCAATGTTTCATAAAATAATAAACATATAATTAACATAAATAAAATACAATCCTATTGCCAAATCCTATATTTAATAATCATTTTATCATCATTATTTTTTAAAATATGTCCCTGTATGAAAAAATTACTACTAAACTTTTAGCTTTTACAGACGACCCGGACGAGTTGGTAATTCCGGGCGACAAAGAAGAAATCGACGAGTTCATCAAAAACGCCAGCGACTGTACACAAATAATGGTGGATATTTTTCTGCCGACCGTATCTATGCAACTGATTGATAAGCACACGTACGAACTGATCTACAACAGAATCAATAATGATTTGCTGATGTGGAAACCGAGCGCCCCTAAACCGAAAACCTACGAAAAGTCGGTGTATGCGCCTGTTAGTACCACGATATTTGAGGGGCAGGAGGTTTTCTCGATGTGCAAGAGTGGCATACAGTATGGTGAGCAAGATTTGTTTCATTTTTTATCCAAAGTTTAAGAAAATAAAATCTCATAAGTTGCGTAATTACGCAACTATTAATACATAATTAGTGAAAATTTACTATTTTAAATTACACTGTGCGACAATTTTCGGGTCATCGAAATCAAACCGCACCGCACCATTTTTTTCTAAAAATATACCTATCCAATAGCAAAACCCTCGCTGGGTTTGTAAAAGTTAGCTCGAATTTTTTTTTTATGGCCATTTGTATTTTCGAGCTTCATATACCCCAGTTTAGACCTATAAATCGATTTTTTTCGCATATATTCGATTTATATCGTCAAGATTTTTTGTAAAAATGTAGTTACTGCACAAATAAACTCATTTTGTGAACAACCTATATCCCAAAAACCCAATTTTTGGGACCAAATATTCGAAATTTTTTTTTTTATTTTTTGATAATATTTAAAATTTCTTGCTACTTCTTCTGGCAAAAATCTTGTAAAGTATACCAAAAGAAGTAATTTATAAAATACGCACACAAAACTGAACAAGATTTTCCAAAATATTCATCTTTTCACACTCAACACCAAATATTTTGCCGAAAAATCTGTAGGAAAAAATTGAATAGATAAAATAGAATTGTAGAAAAGTACAGAGAGTTTGATTTTTTATTTTGTATTAATTTTATTATTAAAAAACTTTTTTATATCAAAACATTGAGTAATCTGATTCATTGCTGAAGAGTTCCATCCCTTCCACTTCTTCTCCTTTATTTCCTTGCTCTTCATTTTCATTTTTGATTCATCACTGGAGAATTTCATCCCTTCCACTTCTTCTCCTTTATTTTCTTGTTCTTCATTTTCATTTTCTTTCTGATCGTAGTCAAAAATATGTTTACTTCACCAAAATGTTTCGGCTAGTATGGCATCTGGAGCTCGTTTTCCTCTTTATCTGGACTCAAATGGCATCGCAGTTTGATGATTGTGTCGATAACTGTCGACTGAAGTAGTCCAAATGGCGATGAGGGAAATAAATTTTTAGCGACATATTGACTCCAATTTTGGAAAAAAACATCCAACATTCGTCGCACAGATCCTTCATAATTGGGAGAACGATGTTTGCCTAAAAATCCAACGATGATTTCTCTTATCGACGCCCACGCAACTATCTCATTGTCAACCAAGGCCCTGTCAAAGTTTTCTGAAATGAAATGAATATAAAAAATATATGAAATGAACGGATGGAATTCTCCAGTGATGAATCAAAAAATTAAAATGAAGAACAAGAAAATAAAGGAGAAGAAGTGGAAGGTATGGAATTCTCCAGCAATGAATCAGATTACTCAATGTTTTGATATAAAAAAAAATTTAATAATAAAATTAATACAAAATAAAAAATCAAACTCTGTACTTTTCTACAATTTTATTTTATCTATTCAATTTTTACTACAGATTTTCCAAAGATTTCGGCAAAAAGATTGGTGTTGCAACTACTCATGAGTATGAAAAGATGAATATTTTGGAAAATCTTGTTTAAAAATTGTTTTCCAGCAAATAAGTAAACTTAAAGTTCAGTTTTGTGTGCGTATTTTATAAATTACTTCTTTTAGTATACTTTACAACATTTTTGCCAGAAGAAGTAGCAATAAATTTTAAATATTATCAAAAAAATTGAAAAAAAAATTTTTTTTTCGAATATTTGGTCCCAAAAATTGGGTTTTGGGATATGGGTTGTTCACAAAATGGGTTTATTTGTTCAGTTACTACATTTCTACAAAAAATCTTGACGATATAAATCGAATATATGCGAAAAAATCGATTAATAAGTCTAAATTGGGGTATATGAAGCTAGAAAATACAAACGGCCATAAAAAAATAAATCGAGCTAACTTTTACAAACCCAGCGAGGGTTTTGCTATTGGATAGGTATATTTTCAGAAAAAAATAGTCCGGTGCGGTTTGATTTTTGGTGTTGCACAGTGTTATTATTCATATTTTAACAATTTGCAATCCACTGCAATTTTTTTAAATAAAAAATAAAACCGTTTTATCATAAAATTTTATCATTTCATAAAAATCATGAGTATTTTTGAAATATAGAAAAAAAGGGTCTTTTACTTACATTAAATTTTAATTATTAAAATATCACTTGTATTATTTATTTTTATTAAAAAAATTATTTAAATTTTTTTTAAATTTTACTTGTTTTCATTAGAGATGGGATTGTAGTGTTATAACTAGGGTTTTAAAGTGTCGGAAAAATTGGGTAAAAAATCTGCTTTTTTCCCAGGCCTTGAAAAAATTGGCTTTTTCTAAAAATTAAATTTGGGAAATATACACATTTAAAAAAAGTGGCAATCGAAAAAAAAACACTAAACATTAAATTAAATTAAATTGATTTAAGAAAATAAGCGTAAACGTTAAATATACTGCCGCGGTTGGGTCTTTCTTGCAAAAAGGTGTCCATTGAAAATATCCAATTACAAAATAATGAATGATTTATAAAGTTAAATTACAAAATTAAAATTTTATAAATTAAAGTGTCAAATAAAACAAAAAATATATTAATTCAGCACCGAATATGTATGTAATATTTTTTGCGACAAGGTAGAATATTTTTACAGAATTAAAATAAAAGGAATAATTATTATAATCATAATACTATGATTCAGCGTCGAAAGTTGTATTTTTTCTCGTTATTCGTAAAAATTTGCAAATTTTCAGAAAAATTGACTTTTGCATTGTTTCTTATTACACTTTGAATAAAATGAAAAAATGTAAAGGTCAATTTTTCTTATTATTTCCCAATTTGTCCGTTTTTTTTTTGCGGAAAAAAATTTTCCGCCGGCTCAATTTTTCCTGAAATTTTAAAACCCTAGTTATTACCTACCTACGAAAATCGTAACTTTAGGTGAGATAAAATCCGTTTTGAAAAAAAATATTTTATTTGAGGCTGATTTTATTTTACCTAAATTTTATTTGGATGACATAATTCTTATGCACTATGTAGTTATTTTTGTTTGTACAGTACTGGGAATCGCAAATGTCCTCTGCAATTTTGCCAGGTCTCATGCTATTGCATGAAATCTTAGGTTTTTCCAATTAATCTGTTATTATGTTTTATTTAAAAATATTATATATTCCAGCAAATTTGTGCTTTTTTATATTTTCTTAAACATTTCTATCATCCTGAATTTGAATTTTTTATTGTCAGCAATTGTATGTTTAGAAAACTATACTCTAAATATGTGATTATAATATTTTTACAAGATATATTCGTCAGTTATTTTTAAATTTTTCAATTCATAAAAATTGTGTTCAATAAAATTTAATACAATATTAAATTAAATAGTTTTACCACCTTAAAGTTGCTTTCCAGTACCAGTTTTTGAAAAGTACCTAATTTAAGAATATCTCACCTAAAACAAGAACAAACTTTGAGTATTTTTATAAATTTTGCAACCTAAAATCCCATTTCGAACTAGTTATCATGTAGGAAAATTAATTTGTAAATCCTTATTTATTGTGCGATTTTAACCGCATTTATTTTAAAATGTAGATCTTGATAAACTATATTTTTGTAGCATAACGCCATATTTTTACAAAATACCCCTTGTATTACTATGTCAGTTTTTAAGAGTAAATTTTTAAGAATTCATATTAGCGATTTAAATGTATCTACGGCACTGGATTTACCACCCCTTAAAACGACCCCATACTTAATTTTATTGATTTTGTAGCCATATTAAAAATGAACAATAATAACTACTTATATACAAAAATTTATTCTGTCAATTATCCATAAAAAAACATTGAAATAAAATTAATCTAATATTAACATGCTATAAATATTCCTATGCTTGGCTTTGACAAATAAAAAACGCAATAGAAACTTAAAACAACAATGAAACAAAAAATAGAGAATTCAAAAAATTATCTACAATTAGATTTCCACAAGAACTACAAACACAAACGAATATGAACGTGTATTGAAATAAATGGTGTAGAGGTGACGAAATTGTAATTGTAGAGATTTTTTTTGTTTCATTGTTTCTATTGCGTTTTTTATTTGTCAAAACTGAGCATTGGAATATTTATACCATGTTACCATTAGTTTAATTTTATTTCAATGTTTTTTTATGGGTAGCTTGACAGAATAAATTTTTGTAAAAAGTTATTGTTCATTTTTAGTTTGGCTACAAAATCTTCCTACTTAAAAACTTTTAATAAAATTTAGTATAGGGTCGTTTAAATTCTTAAAAATTAACTTTCAAAACTGTTTTTGTAAAAATATGGTGTTTTTTGCTCCAAAAATACAGTTTATCAGGATCTACACTTTAAAACAAATCCGGTTAAAATCGCACAATAAATAAAGATTTTACAGGGGTGAATCACAAACAAATGTAGATAAAAGAAAGTTTGTCGTAAAACAACATGTATTTTTTCTTAGATTCAGACAGTGACTCAAACGCTTCAGACGAGCCACCAAACATATTTTACTCTACTTACGATTCGAGGATGAAATCCTCGATAAAACCGCACGGGTTGGTGCAACAGCCGCCGAAAAGTCAAAACGCATTTGCGTTAAACTTGCAGGTACACGATTATTCTGCAATACCCAACATGTTTCTATGTCCAAATTGCTTTTTCAGATTGGACAAGGTTTGGTGTTTATGCACACGCCGGTAAGAGACGCGTCCTCCAAGGTGATACCGAATCAGCACGGTGAATTTTTGCTGAACGTCGAAAACGCTAAAGTTTTCGTCGTTAGCGGTTACAATGGGGACGACAATTTAGGTTACGTTTGTGTACAAGTACACAATGCCAAACTGCATCACTGTGGTAAGTTCTTTAACTATTATGCACTTTTAAGTCCACATTTAAAAAAATATATAATTCTTTTATAAAACGTATTTAATATTATTTTGTTGTATTTTAATGCAAACTTAAAATATCCACTTTTTAAAACGCCTTTTTAGTGAGTTTCCAAAACAATTTATTTTTCTTTTTCAAGTAAATTAAACGGTCTATAGTTAGCGTAAGGTTTAAGAAAATTATCTATTTAAAAAATCTGTATTTTTTTATGAATTTAGCTGTTGTGAAATTTCTAAAAGGGATTTGTACTTTCAGAGCTAGTACATTCTGTAACAAGTTTGGAATATGCTATTCCAAACGTGTTTCAGACATTATTTTCTCTACGACTACGTAAGAATAGTACCGCTTATATAACAGAGAAAAGAAACCAAGCGGTTTTTGACATTTAAGTTTTTTGTATTGTCAAACCATTTTGTGCCGTCACAATTTTATAATGTAAATTATAATAAATTTAAACAAATGGTATGCCTAAATCTCTATTATAATTAAAAATAGTTATTTACACTAACTAATAAAAAAATAACATTGTAACAAATACAAAACTAATTTTACAAGTAATCTATGTCAACATCTACTCTTTTTCTACATTTTAAAGGTCTTTTTTTTAACTTTTTGAATCTGTCAAAACTTCAAAGCCGGTATAGTAGGTAACTGGTTTATCATTTTAATATCAAATTTATTATAATTTTGATTTGTATATTTGAAAAACAATAAATATAACTAATTTTTTGTGCCTAAACCTTAATTATACAACTGCTATTATTTTTTAATTGTTATAAAATTAGCGGGAAACTAGAGCAATAAAAAGCACACGTTCTGTTTAAGTGTTCAGCATAGACTGAATTTTATTGTAAGAGTAGAAGGGATACATAAATTCACAAAGTTTGATGCACTACTCATAGATGGCATTAATATATTTGGCTAAATAATAAAATTATTTCAACATTAATTAATAAATAATACAGTAATATTTAAATATTTTTAATTTTTTTACGTTTAGTAAACAGCCAGGAGATGTCGTTACTTGTGACCATTCTTAAACAAGAGTAGGAATATTCTTGCACAGTATTGCAGAAAAACATCCTTTCTATGATCAAAAATTACACTAGAATGTTACTATTCTTAAGTAGTCGTAGAGAAAGTTACTTCTGAAAAGTATCTAGTTACTTTTCTAAGATACTTTAAACAAAATAACTTAGTTACCTCTGGTAACTAGATACTTTCAGTTAAAAGTATCTTTAGTTCAAGATACTTTAAAAAGTATCTAAGATACTATATGAAAGTATCTAAGATACTTTTAAGTAACTAAGATACTTTTAAGTAACTAAGATACTTTTGAATAACTAAGTTATGAATAAAAACTATAAAATTATAAAAATTCAACAAGTTGTAGGTTAGGTAATTACTTTGAATCATTTTGGAATTCCCCCAATTTTCTCTAAAAAAGTATCTAAGTTACACTGAAAAGTATCTTAGTTACTTTAAAAAGTATCTTAGTTACTTTAAAGTATCTAAGTTACTTGAATGTATCTTAGTTACTTCACCGAGTCTTAGATACATTTTTAGATACAATTGTTACAAGATACTTTTCCAAAGTAACTTAGTTACAGATACTTTCTGTCCATTCATTCTAATTTCCTAATTTTCCCTATTGATTTATAAGATTTTTGACCCATTCTTGTTTTTGACAATTTTACATTTCTTCGCTTTTTCAATATCATAGAGATAAAAATACCCAAACGTGTAATAGTCCCGTCCGTTACGCTTTAAATTATTAATTTTTAAGGAATTAAACAGTCAATCACGATACCTAATTTTGCCAAATAAAAACCTTGTTAAACAGCTTTAGTTTAGAACTATTTATAAAAATTTGACATTGTTAATATAATAGAACAATATTATTTTGTAAATAAAAACACGGCAACTGTCCTATCCGTTAAGCGTGGAATGGCCCATAACGAGTTTTGTCATGCAACAAAACGCGTTTTTTCTACTTTTGGGTTGGAATTTCTAAAAAACTTGAGACGTGATGAAGGAATTCTGAAGTCGGGTTCAAATTTAACGCACAAAATCCTTTGTCATAGAAATTTGGTTAAATTTTGTAAACCTATGATATTATATTTATTTTATTTTATTAAAGTTTTTTTTAAATGTAGTTAAAAGTGTAATTGTAAAAAAATAATGTATAATTTTTAGATATGATTTCCACTGCCAGCTCCAATCCGCCCATAAAAGACATCGGAACGATACCGGGGCGCCATCTGCACCCCACTATCTACAAATCCGACGTCGGAATGTCTGTCGACAATAACAACAGGGGCGGCAACCGCGAAATGTTGAGCGTGGCCGTGAAAATACAAGCTTCTCATGAAACACATCATGTAAAGGTAAGTGGCTGTTTTCATAGAGCACATAAATATGCTACTCTAAAGAACAATTGAATCCTCTAGTATCATAACCCCTTAAATCCGTTTTGATAAAAATGAAATACATGCATTAAAATATTTCTACCTATAAATGTGTGCATGGAAATTTATTTTATAACTAAATTGCTCAAGCAAATAGTTCTTCCAATTTATTCTGTTTGTTAAGAGACATGTTAATAACTTGAAACATCAAAGAATTTGTTGATAACATGATTTTATCAACAAATTCTTTGATGTTTCAAGTACATTGCTACGTGGTGGACTATCTTCTTGACTTTCAGTAGACTTAAATTTTGCATAGATAATCTTATAATATAACATATTATCTTGTGGGGCATGAAGACACTTTTTGTTTGTTTGATCATTTTGGATGCATTACCGACATATATTTTTTTACAGAACCTGAATTGCGCATGGTCTTTTTTGCACTATTTTGTAATAATTCCAAATATGTTTCTCTTGGCATTCTACTGTACCTTTAAATAAACAACAAAAACGTTAGAATCATTTTAACTTTGTTAATTGTTTTTTATGCAAACGATTTATGAATTGTGATGATGAGATCTTCAACAAACTTCTTCTTTAAATTAACACAAATTAACTTCTTCTTATTCAGTTTCTTGGCCTTAACTTCGCAAATCAGCTGTTAAACGGGAAAGTTTCCGGGAATGTTTCCGGTAACTTTAAAAGAAAAAAATAATTTATTCCCATCCCTAATTTATATGATCTGCACTCTTGCTACAACAATATCTTCTCTTTCAGACAATTTTAGTTGCAATAGGACTCAACAAAGCCACACTGAATCACAAAATGTGCAACGAACCCAACAGCTTTATATCTCACATAATCGACTTCTTTAACGTCCATGATTACCCAATACCTGGGTACGTGTCCAAGGACGTGCTAACCGAATTTCACCTGCACCTTTGGGACTGCGCCATCGACTACAGGCCCTTGAACATACCCTACAGAGCGGCGGTGGCGGTGGGTAACTTTACCATATCGTCGCATCTTTCCGCGGCCGCGAACACTTCCACTTTGATTTTTATCGCCGAAGAGTGCGGTTTGTTTATCAGCGAGAAGCATCCGCCTAGAGGCGGGGTTCCTTCAACCGTACCCGTGGATTTAAGAAGGGACTATGTGAATGTCGTGGAGGTTGGATTATTCGATTTAAGCCTCAAAACGAGTGACAAGGTAAGATTTATTTTCACACCTCCTAAAACTCATAAAATTCCTAAAATTTTGCTTAAATCTTGAAAGCTCCTAAAATTCTCCTAAAATTGCATTCAATTTCCTAAAAATTCTAAAATCCTAAAAATTAAATTTAAATAGGCCAACCTGACTGCGTTTAATTAAGGTAGTGCTAAAAAATTTAATTTTTTTAAAAAGTAATTTAAAAATATATATTTTTAGGTTCTATTTTATTAAATTCTTTTTAAAATGATATAATATCACAACCAAAATTTTTCTTAAAAAACAACAAAAAAACTTCTACAAAATTGTCATTTTTAGCGATATTTCGTTTTTTTTAGTCAAAAATATACCGTGTTATATATCAAACAAAAGGATTTTTAATTTTCTTTTAAATGACAGCTAAAATAGTAAACAATCTAAAGAATGTTTTGCTGTATTTTGTAAACTTCATATTTTGTTATGATATTTTTAAGTATTAAGATCTACATTACAATTGAATCGGTGAGAATAAGAACAGTATACCATAAGTCCAAAAATTTAAATTTTTCAATTTATTCTAAAATCTATTTTAAAGTTTAAAATACATTTTTGTGAGAAGATATAAATTATTTTACAGAATATGAATATTATATTTCATGAAATAGTTAAAATATTCCTACAAAAATGCATTTAGAACTATAAAACTGATTTTTTGAAATATTTTATCAAAAATTTAACTTTTGGACTTGTACTATTCTTAATCTTATTGATTCAATTACTGTTAGCTATTAACTAAACAGTTAACATATTTGTTCTTAAAATATAAATATAACATCATTTGATTTTGGCCTAGTTTTTTAGCCAAATCTATCGACGCATTTATTTAAATAAAATTAAAAGTGTGGTTGTTTATATGAGGAGTGATTTTTCAAAAGGCCTTATTTCCATTTTTACTTTAATGTAATTTTTTGACAAAATCCCAAAGGTATGGTTAAAAGGCATATATTAACGGCGAAATATGACAGCAGGTCTGAAGTATTATTAAATATTCATCAGAATTTTTTTTAATAATCTATATTGCCCTAACCTATACAGGTTATAGTCATTTTTTTGAATAATTGTTGCAAATGGAAATACGACCTTTTGAAAAATCACTCCTCATGTGCACTTCAGATATATACAAAAGTTTTAATTTTACCTCACTTTTAATTTTATTTAAAAAAAAACTCGTCGATATAACTTATTTTTATAAAAGAAGTATTTTTGCTTATTTTTTAAGTAGTAAAGAGTTGTTTTTATTTAATTAAAGAAATTCATTTCCATACTTTATTTATCCTAAAATTTTACAAAAAACCTCCTAAATTCCTAAATAAAATTTGTAATTTAGCCGTGGAGGCCCTGTATTTTGTTAAAATGTTAATTATAAGATTTTTATTTTTAGATTCTTTGTAATTTTTTTTACATAAGGGTGTGCGTCGTTTCCCAAGTTGGCTTTTTTTACTTGGGTATTAAATAAATTATTTTTGTACAATCTAAACACAATTTTAAAAAAAAATTAATTCGTTTAACTGATTATACTTTTTTAAACTTAAAGACAAAAGAGAAAACCCATAACTCTCTAATAAATAGACAGAATACACAAGACATATTTTTGTAAGGAATTTTACGCCCTTTAAAAATATCAATTACGTTATTTTCATAAAAACCTCCATATCGGAGGTCAAAGTTTGAAATAAATTAATTTTTATTTGTTGAATATTTTCACTTGGATATCAAAAAAAAATCCCAGTGATTGTGCCGCCATCTAGCGACAGAATTAGTTTGGAATTCCAGGGGTGTCCAAACTATTAATCTGAATAAAAAATATAACATTCACTTAAAAATATCCCCTATGATATTTTTCATGCATTTTTTAAAATTTCTCCTATAATATTTTTAATTTAGCGAATTTAAAAAATTAAAAGTACAAATATATGAAGCCGATATTTTAAATTCACCAAATTAAAAATATCAGTTTGGCATAATAATATAAAAATATAAATATTAAATTAAATGTTTATATATCTACTATGATATTTTTAATTCTCATCATTTTAATGACAAGAAAAAATCCATAAATCTCTAATATATGACAATCCATTTTACCATTTACCAGCACAAGTTTTATCTTTTAGCAGGGAGAATAATATAATAAAAGTTGTTAAAAAAATAACTACATATTGCAAAGGTTTTGATGTTGAACTTTAATTCAATGAATTATTTTTTAATAGGTGTACAAATATTATAATTTTTATTTGAATCTTATTTTAACTTTAAAGTCATTTTTTTGTTCTTTAACTTTTTTAATTCAATTAAAATTATTTAAAGTATAATTTTAATGTGTAAATAGCAAATTATGATTTTTTTTACGTTTTTAAATTCAAAAAAGTATCATCATTTAGCAGGGTTAAACCCAAGTGAAAAAATATAACGGATACCCTAATATACGTATAATTGTAAATGTTAATAACAATACAATTATAGTTTTTAATGTTTAAAAAGGTCGAAAACATATTTTAAAATGAAATATTTTAGTTTTGAATGGTTTAGAAATACTTTAGAATGTCAAATTTTATTTAAGAATCATGTTTAAGGATATATATAAAAGTATACAAAATGTGCCTCTTTAAAGTTGGCTTCTGGGACTTCTTAGGAAGTAAGGGTGGAACTAAAAGAGCAAAAAAAATAACATAAGCAATTACAATTTTCTTATAATCGGGCAATTATCTAAATACTTGTACACTAGGGTGGAGTGAAAAAATAATTTGTTTTTTCCTTTGATGTAATAGTTACAAAAAGATTCATTTAGTGTCAAATAATATCCATACCAATTTTTGTATCAATCGCTTTATGTTTAGTGGGTCCTCCAAACCCATTAATGTCAGAAGAAAAGTTGAAAATTACATTTTTTTAAATTTTTATATAGCAGCATTCTTTGCATGTATATATGACTAATATTTATATTAATTTGTAATTATAAAATTATTAATTATAAATTTTAATTTAATATAAAAGACCAACTTTTGAAACCAAAAAAGAATATAAATTTGAAAAGTAAGTAATATTTTTTCAAGGTCATGAAAGTCATAGGTCCTAGCTTAGGTGAGGCTGGGAGGTGTAGGAGCTTGATAATTGTAAATAATAACAACAAAAAAAAGTTGTAAAATATATTTTAATATGCCTTAAAGTTAATAGACTTTTTTTCAATAAAATTTGATTTTTTAAAGACTCGTAGGACCCTCAAGACAATTTTTTATCTTAAATTGCAAAAAATTTTTGAAAATAAAACAGAGGCAAGCAACTTTTTTAAACTATTAGAAATCTGAAACTAAAAAGAAATTGTTTTTGGCCTTTTTCACTCCACCCTATTGTACACAGAACAGAGATATAAAAAAAAGTTGTAAAATATATTTTAATATGCCTTAAGGGCCATTCCACGCTTAACGGATAGGACAGCCGCCGTGTTTTTATTTACAAAATAATATTGTTCCACCATATTACCAATGTCAAATTTTTATAAATAGCTCTAAACAAAAGCTGTTTAACAAGGTTTTTATTTGGCAAAATTAGGTATCGTAATTGACTGTCCAATTCCTTAAAAATTAATAATTTAAAGCGAAACGGGCGGGACTATTGCAAAGTCCCGACCGTTACGCTTTAAATTATTAGTTTTTAAGGAATTGGACAGTCAATCACGATACCCAATTTTGCCAAATAAAAACCTTGTTAAACAGCTCCAGTTTAGAACCATTTATAAAAATTTGACATTGGCAATACAATAGAACAACATTATTTTGTAAATAAAAACACGGCAACTATCCCATCCGTCACGCGTGGAATGGCTCTTAATGTTAATAGACTTTTTTTCAATAAAATTTGATTTTTTAAAGACTCGTAGGATCCTCAAGACAATTTTTTATCTTAAATTGCAAAAACTTTTTGAAAATAAAACAGAGGCAAGCAACTTTTTTAAACTTTTTCACTCCACCCTATTGTACACAGAACAGAGATATGGAAGAAAGAGAAACTCGCAAAAATTTTTGAAAATCCTAAGAAATACTTTTTAATCTCTGTATCTGTATTTTGAATAATTCATAATAATAATAATTATTATGATTGTTTACACTTAATTAACTAATTTTCCTTGCACAGAAAATGACTGTAAACCCTCACTTCGATCTCCGCGCGTCAAACAACAAAGTCAACATAAAGACGTGCGCAGACAGCGGCAAAGCGCTGATGCAACTGATCACTTACTACGCGAGCAACGGAGATCTAGGCAACTGCGAAGAGGCCTCGGAAACGTCGAGCGCCATTTCCAGCCCGCGGCACGCGGTCGACCAGGAACTGGTCAGCTTGGATCCGCAGCAACAAATCAGCAACTTGTCCGTCAGTCAGCACCATAATGTCAAGGAGTTGATTGGAGATGCCTTGAGGGAGGCGGAACCCATCGAAGGTAGGACGAGATTTTATGTTTTTTATTATGATACTTACAAGTTTTTCCAAAAGAACTTTCTTAAATAAAGCGGTTTTTTTCGTTTAATATAATTTTTAATGTAAAAATTATATTCCAAAATGTTGACACTTTTTTGGGAAAATGAGGAATACAAATTTTAAATTCGGGAAGATTTCCACATCCACATCAAAATGTGTAATTAAGAATTTAAAAAAACGCTTTTAGCTAAAAATTCCTTTCTAGAAACCATAGTGCGTTAGGGGAAAAATAATACAAATACTGCTACAAGTCACTTCTTAACTTTGTGACGTTATTTACTAAACTAATGTTTCAAATTAAAGCATATAAGATCTATAAAATTTGCATAAAATATTCTATTAAGTTTTCCTTACATATTTTGTAGCCTAAAGTTTGCTTAACAAGATTCCCAACGTGAGTGCAGTAATTTCATTTCAAAATAGTGAGTTTTATGCTCCAAAAACCGTTTAAAAACTTCTAACAAGGTCTTACAATATTTTTTTTGTGAACAAGTATCCTATGTATTATAAAAAATCTTCAAATTCACTTTTATGACGTGGGGGTAGTTTGAAGAGCGTATTTTTAAAAGTACTGCACCAACAAGGACACCCTTTGACAAAGTTGTTTAGCAAACTTTAGGCTACAAAATATCCAAAGAACTTTATAGACTATTTAATTCAAATTTTGTAGATCTTTAAAAAAGAGGTACTACTATTTTGCACATCAGTTAAATTCATAATTATTTTATAATGTAAACTTTAAGTAATCTTAAAATAAAACATTATGAAATGCATTTTTTATAATACAGGGCAAGTCTTTTAACTTGAAACTTTAAAATATCTATCTAAATAGGCTTTTTAAGAAAACAAAATTAAAATATCATTGGACTGAAAATAGGTAGATTTTGTCTAAAACATTTTCTGAAATAATTTTTCTATAAAATACTTGTTGGTTGTTATTATAAATAATACTAATTTAGCTTAAAACAATTTTTATTAAAGTAGGTGCTTAAAATGATGCCCTTCGACTTATTAATTTGGATTTTAAATGAGTCTAGACAAGTAAGTATCTGCTGGAGTTTCGGCAAAAGCATTTCTAATTCGCTCAGTCATATTTTCACGGGTTGTTGGTACTTGTTGATACACACGGTCTTTGAGATGCGCCTTGGAGCCGGACTCTTTTTAATCTCAACACGGGGATAAGAAAAAATAACAAACAAAAACAAAAATAAACAAAATTACACGAGTTTTAAATGTAAAACTGATTAATCCAAGATTAATAATCTTGATTAAATTAAATGTATAAATGTATTAATAAAAAAATCGTACTTTATCAAAAAAAAGAACTGATTTAATTTAATAAGATAATTATTTCCAATGAAAAAGTGAAATATCACTTTTATGTTTTTATTTAAAAATTATCGCAGAATGGTCTAGAGGAGAAATCGAACAACATTGATTTTTTATTACAGCTCCTTTTTACTAATATAAAAAAATATTTCAGAGAAAATCTACCTATTTTTAGTTTAATGATCCGAATCTGCAATAAAAAATAGGGTGTTCCATTGAAAATTTTAAAGTTAGGATGAGAGTATGCGGAATAATTTTGGTATTACATTATTTCCCCCCTCAATTCATTTAAGGGGTTACATACATCAAAATCGAAGCACTAGAACTTTAAACGCGTTCATCTCGGAATCGTATTTTTTGAAAAGTGCTTTTGCCGTGAGCACGATTTCTCAAAAAACCAATTTAACGATCGATCTGAAATTTGAAAGTGCCGTACCTAATTACAATAGATCCTTCGTGATCGATTTTTATTTAGACGAAAATTTCTATTTTTTTCTGCCAGAAAACTCAATTTTTGTACCCTCGAAAATCGTTTTTTCTAATCAAGATCTGTTGGGCGGTTTTCGATATTTCATGCTCACCGCAAACGCTTGAAAAAAAGACGTTTCGGGGCAAGGGCCGTATTTTCTACAATTTTGCATATTTTCGCATATTTTTTTTACAAATACTTCGAAGCCTACCCTATTCGATACTTTATAGTTTGTTTTAATTTAATTATTATTACATACCAAAAAAACTCACCAAAAACCGTTAATTTTTTAGAGCTCATATACAGGGGGTCCGGGAAAATGTGGGAAATATCTCGGATTCAGATAAAATATGAAAAAATAAGATGATATGTTCCTATAAAAAAATTTCCTACTTGCCCGCCTTACGGAGACATGGGCCCCTTCAAATTGGTTTTCCTTGAATAACTTTTAAATTACTGAATATAATTTAATAAAAATTTAATATGATGGACCCTGGTAAGGATCTCTTAAAATAGTGTCCTTGGAACATGTTTTGCTTTTTTGTTTACCAGGGGCGGACTAAGTATTACACCTTAATGCTTTAATTTTGAACACCCAGTATGACAAAGACTTAAAAAACTAAATCTGCATAGCTTGAACCTTAAACTAAAATAAAGGTACTCTTGTATATTGTCAATAAAATAAACCGTTTTCGAGAAAAAGAATAATAAACGAATTCATGTTTTATTTTTAATAAAAAGGACCATAAAAAAATAATATAACGTATTGTTGCAAACCTTAAATTGAAGGACGATAATTCGAAATAATTAATTAAAAACTTTATAAGAGGGTTCAACATGGGCTTCCTGATACATTACCCACAATAACCCAGCATGGTTTCTTATCATATCACAATGAATCGTGATTATCTGTAGAAGTTCCTCCCTAGTATCGATCGGAGTGGAATACATCAAGTTTTTTAGGTGTCCCCACAGGAAAAAAGGTGTAAAACTTAGTCCGCCTCTGGTAAACAAAAAAAGCAAAAAATGTTTCAAGGACACTATTACATATTAAATTTTTATTAAATTATACTGTACTGTACTGTACTTTAAAAGTTATTCAAGGAAAACCAATTTGCAGTGGCCTTCTTTCGGGGCCCATGTCTCCGTAAGGAGGGCCAGTAGGAAATTTTTTTATAGGAACGTGTCATCTTATTTTGTCATGTTCTATCTGAATCCGAGATATTTCCCACATTTTCCCGTATGTGAGACATTCTTTTACATATCGAACGGATTACAGAAAACATATTTTTTCAAATTTTTAAAATAACTTAATTTTTTTTTACAGCATCTTTTCATAAATTTAGCCCACCCCTATATCGGAATTTTTGCAGAAAATTTATTTTTCCAAAGATATATTGATTTAAACTTTTGATAAAATTTGAAAAAATGCTGAATTCTTTTGTACTTAAAATTCATTATCTCCGGTTCTACTGATCGGATCGATTTCATTTTTATTTTATTTTAAACCATATTACATAGTCTTTTTAGATAAATATTTAATAATATTATATGAAAAAAATATTTTTTTTTGTATAAACAGATTTTTTGTGTTTGCCCCCTCTATGAAAAAAAATGAAAAAAATACTGTTCTATGCACTATTTATTACTCTACAAAATGAATTTTTCAGAAAAATGGAGACTATTTTGGATCGGAAGATATTAAATATTTTCGAGCGCGTGACCGGTACAAGCCGTAAGGGGGCATCCATTAATTACGTGAGGCGTTTAGGGGAGGGAGGGGGTCAAGCCAAATCTCATCAATTCTCACGTAAGGGAGAGGGGGGTCTCGGCAAATATCACGTAATTTTTAACAAAGTATGTTTTTTTAATAAATCCAACAGAATCAAGCAGTTTAACGTATAAACATTAAAAATAAGCATTTTTTAAAATCTCACGTGAGATTAGGGGGAGGGGGTTGAGCCAAATCTCACGACATCTCAGCAACGGGGGAGGGGGTCAAAAAATCGCTAAAATTGACTCACGTTATTAATGGACACCCCCTAATCAGATATCTTCTCATACATCGTTTTAAAAAAATACCAGCGCTTTTTGTAAATTAATTCTGATTTTAAAGGTTTTCAATAATTTTAAATAAATTAAATTTTAAATAATACAAACTCCAATTAATAAGTAAATTTATTAACTGGCAGAATTGACATTTGCACAAATAAGTCACCAATTAAAAGATGTCGAATCATGGCACTCTTATACAAAATATTACGTCACCCGCCACATGCACTAATACGTTTGAATATTACGCGCTTGACAGTCCTGTCACGCGCTCGAAAATGTTTAATATCTTCCGATCCAAAAGAGTCTCCACTGTTCTGAAAAATGTATTTTGTAGATAAAGAAAAAGCGCATAAAATAGTATTTTTTTCCTTTTATTTTATAGAGGGGGCAAACATGAAAAACTAAAAATTAATCTGTTATTAACTCCCTATACTTAAAAAAAATTTAATTTATTTATTTGAAAAGCCTATTCAATAAGGTTTAAAACAAAAAAAAAAACAAAATCGATCCGATCAGTAGAACCGGAGATAATGGGTTTTATGTAGAAGAGAATTCATCGTTTTATCGCAATTCATAAAAACTTTATATCAACATATCTCTGAAAAAACAATTTTTTTACAGAAAACCTGATACACGTATCTGCTTATTTACTGAATAGAAGCGGTAAAAAAATTTTCATGCGAATCCAAATCCTGAAGTCAAAATAGGTGTACGATTTGTAAAAGAATGTCTCTTGTTTGTAACCCCTTAATTTAATTTTTTTTTCGTAAAGTGCCTATTTACTGACATAATTTAAAGCTTCAAATTAAAAGATTCCCCCTGTATATTAACACTAAAACTTTTGCTGCAGAAGGCACCGAAGTGTTTATAAACAGCGGCGCCAAACTCTTCTACTTTCCGGACGAAAAGCAACTAACGGAACTGTCGGCCGGCAAGCCGCTGGCGCAGGTGACCGCCGAGCTGGGCGACGTCGCGCACCGCTCGAACAAAAGCAGCGACACCGACGACGACTTCTGCATAATCGGCAACGAGGCCGGCCTGGGCATCTTCCCGCGCAACGGCCAGCCGGAGATCAAGTGGCTGACCGGCGAGCCGGTGCGCGTGATCGAGCGCCACTTCGACCTGCCCACCGGCAAGACGGACCTGCTGAAGCCGCCCAAGCACTTTCCGGTGCCGGTCGAGCGGTACACCTTGTGCGAGATGACCGTCGTGTGGAACATGTACGGCGGCAGCGATTTCGGCGGCGCCGGCGGCGCGGTCAAGAGGAAGACGGTTAATTTTTCCGACGCTAGCCGGCAAACGGTGCAGTTTAGCAATAATACGAAGGGAGAGGTGTCTATTGTTACTGAGCACAAGGAGAAGAGTAGCAAGAAAAAATTGACGTGGATTGACAAGGGTGGTTTGAATAGGGATCACAGCGTTAGGATGGAGTTGCAACTGAGTAAGGTAAGAAACAGCCTTTATTCATAAATTAAAATTAAAAAATTATCAAAAAATTTCTTTTTACTCTTTAGTATTTTTTAAATTATTACAATATTTCTGTTATTTCTTTTTTTTCATACATTATGCCGTTTCACTTTTTAATCGGATAAGAAATATTAAGTTAAATATTAATACTCTAAAAAATAATTTGCACTGGAAAATAATACTTTCAAAATAATACATTAATAAGAATTATACATGTCAAAGAAGTTATTCTTTTTTTAAATATGTTTATCTACTCCTACATTGACGAGCTGTGACTTTATGGCGTTTTATTGACGGGCTGAAGTTAACAACAGTGGCTTTTCGACATTTTACGTCACGGGCTGAAGTTAGCTTTATTATAAATTGGGAAAAATTGAGGTTAAATTCGGGTGACAGTTGACGGATGTCAACATTTTAACAAATAAAATTGGCTTTAAATTCTGTTTTGTGTTCGTCGTAGATAAAGTATAGTATGCAACTCGTTTATATACTTCTCTAGGAACTCGTTTTTATTAAACACTCGCTCGCAAGCTTCGCTCGTGCTTAATTAAACTCGTAACTAAAATTGCGTTTATAAAACTTGATGCATAATATATTAGTATATATACTATTACACAGTACAACACGATTTCCCTCCCATGAAAAATTTTAGCAGATTTTCAAAATAGAGGTAAAAAAAACGTACCCGTGTCTCACAGTTTCACGAGATCACGTCATAAAAAAATTTTAAGCCGTCATTCCTATTATTTATGCTTATACAGATTGTACATTTTTTACTCGGTTAAAAATATATTTTTTTGTAAATATTGTATGTTTTTACACAATACAAAAAACAAATATAAAAAAAGTTTATATTTTGATTTTTTTAAATATTTTTTTTTATTTTTTTTTTAATGAAACACATTTTTGTATTTATCTTATATTCAATAAATGTTGGAATAAAATCTTGGTCGTTTAGTTTGACGATTATACAGCTCGTTCAGACTAAAACCGACTGTATCTATATATATATATATATATATATGGGGCGTGGCCTCGCCTCCCTCCAACGCGCGACACAGTATACTGTGTATAGCTATAGCTAAGCAAATAGACTGCATCGCTAATGAGATTTTTTGCATTATTATCTTTTAATTTTTTAAGTCCTTACCTGCTCGACCTTTCGTCATGTCGTTTATCACACAAGCAACTGTGACGCGCCTTGGAGGGAGGCGAGGCCACGCCCCATATATATATATAGATATATTCGGTTTTATTCTGAACAGGCTGTATATTGCTTCAGAATCTCGAACAATTGACCAGCAATATTCACCCAGCAAATGCCTGACGTCTTTTCCCTTGAAGCGTTTTTCAATTGTTAAAATGTCTTGGTGAAAACGTTCGCCATGTTCGTCATTAAAATCGCCCAAATTTGGTGGAAAATAGTTCAAATGAGCATGGAGAAAATGTATTTTCAGTGACATAATATGTACTTTCATGCCCTGTGTTATAAAATGTACTTTATAACCCGAACTACAGGGAATAAATTCAGATTCCATCTCGGAAAAAATGGTTGTACTGGGTGTTAAAGGTCTTTTACTTTTATCCTCACATATGTTTTCTGAAGGAGCAGTTGGATAATCTTCAGATCGCACTCTTGCGAGAATGACGGATTCTACATCGGCGTAATCAATTTTCTCTCTAGAATTGTACCGAAATCCAAAACTTTTTAATTTTGACATGCATAAATAACACTGGTCAGATGCGTGTTCGGTAGGTCGCGACGGGTCGAAGCCAAATTGTTGGTGCAGTATTTCATACTGTGTGTTTTATCTTGCAATCCATGCAAACAACGGTAACAATAATCGCATAAAACCTCTGGTACATACCATAAGTTTGGTATATACGTCACCAAAAAATAGTCTTCAAAAGCTGTTACTACACTTTTTGTAATATTTCGCATATGGCTTGGAGGTGCAAATAAACCACATACATAACAAAAATTATTTCGATTCGGACACTGCATTTTTACTTTGATTTCAAATGGATGGTTAACTCAACAATCAAAATTAATATGAAAAATGTATCGATTTATCGCTGCAATAATGTTTTTATTTAACATTTTAAAAAAAGTATTACCCTCGTATAAAGATTGTTTTGAAAACAATGCTTTTTAGGTATAAATGCCGCAGATGTGTAAATTTTTTGTTTTTTTGCTATTTCAATTGACTTCGTATACTTAAATACTTTTTTTTACTTAAATTAAATATGTTTTAGGTACACTTGCTTTAAGACTTAAATCAATTCATTTAAATATCTTTTAATTTTTTTTAAAAATGTTAATTCCACAAAGCTCTATTTTTACAAAAAATTGAATAAATAAAAATTGTAATCACCCGACTTTAAAGCATTTTGATTGGCTTAAAATTGAAACATTTTGTTACTTGGTTTAAAAATAAACCGTTTGATATATATATATATATATATATATATATATATATATATATATATATATATATAAATGTGCAAAACTCTGTATAAGATTAAAATAATTTTAAAATGCATCTATAATGGTTGCCTATCCATTTAGTAAATATATATATTTTTAACTATGCAGTCCAGCTGTTATCGAGTCTATTAAATTATGTCGCGAATAGTGTGAATAACATTTTATTGGATAGCCCTTAAAAAAAAATTATGACGTGATGTGAAAAAACGCAGAGACAGGGGTATCATTTTTTTAACTCTATTTTTAGAATCTGTAGAAATTTTTCATGGGAGGGACCAAAAATCAAATTTTGTCGTACTGTGTTATATAAGATGTTGAATTATTTATTTAATGTAATTTTTCTGTGTGCAATATTTTTGTGACATTAATATTTAACTTAATATTTCTTATGCAATTAAAAAGTAAAACGGCGTGCCATAATTAATTTTATGTGTACGCATAATTTTAATTCTAATAAAAAATAAAATTAATGTACTAAATTTTTATTTTGTTATTAAAATTATGACTATATAATAAAAATTATATAATTAATTTTATGTCTACATAACGGTCGAAAGTGGCAACTGCGGTAGTTCAAATGGTGGGTATCATACCTAAGGTATGTTTAATTTATCTACGTCATATAATTATACAAGGTGTCCCTAAACTTAGTGGCATAAATTTAGGAAAAGATTAACCAAGTCAAAATAAGACGAAAACCTAAATAAATATTTTTCCTAATTACTTATGTTTCCAAGATACAGGGAGATAAAGTGTTACTTATCATATCAGTTTTTTAATATAACTTCTACTATGGTAGTCTTGGAAAGGTGATATTTTGCGAACAGTCACTTACTACCAAAACACATATTCACACATAATTACAATTGTTTAAGTAAACACAGTGTCGTAGAAACGGGGGTTGCTTTAAGCTTATTGTCCCATACAAACTTTGAGGTTAGGTTTTTATAACATTTGATGCAATTTTTCGATCACTCAGTTCGGCTACTATTAAAATGGTGTACCTCTCAAACTTCGATAAAATAAACCGTTTCCGAGATATTCGAGATTACAATAATTGTTAAGTCGCATTATTTAAAAGGATTAAAAAGTACATGATAACAAATTTTATTTTTTAATTGAAAAAACTAAAGAGGGCATTCTAAGAGCCTCGGGATTTTTTCCCTGACCGTCACATTAAAAAAAATTGTTGTTTTTTCAAAAATTTGTTATCATATACCTTTTAGTCCTTTAATGCGATATAACAATTATTGTAATCTCGAATATCTCGGAAACGGTATATTTTATCGAAGTTTGAGAGGTACACCTTTTTAATAGCCGAACTAAGTAATCCAAAAATTGCATCAAATGGTATAAAAACCTAACCTCAAAGTTTATATGGGACAAAAAGGTTAAGCAACCCCTGTTTCTACGACACTGCCCTCACTCGAACAATTGTAATTATGTGTGAATATGCGTTTTGGTAGTAAGTGACTGTTCGCAAAATATCGCCTTTCCAAGTCTACCACAGTACGAGCCCTAACCACATAATGTTCGGACACTTCATAATTTATACAGAAATTTTTTTCGTGAATACTATCTCAAAATTATTAGAAGTTATGAAAAATTCAGCTTATTTTGGCATATACCCCTCGAAGCGATTTTTATTTTTAAAAAGTTTACCTTTTATTTTTAGCTTTTAAAAAAAGGCTAACTTTTTAACTTTTTTTTGCATGAGTAAAAAAAGTTATAAATGGGCCCATTAAAAAGAACATAAAATATTATACAAACCCTGAAAATTTGGTAAAAATTGTATAAATAATAAGAAAGTTATAGCGATATATATATCTGCAAAATCTCCCGTTTCCTAAGAAAATTGCAAAAACTCTTTAAAAATAGCATTTTTAAATTACTTATTTATTACTTATTACTTATTTATTTTTTACCAAATTTTCAGGGTTTGTATAATATTTTATGCTCTTTTTAATGGGTCCATTTATAACTTTTTTTACTCATACAAAAAAAAGTTAAAAAGTTAGCCTTTTTTTAAAAGCTAAAAATAAAAGGTAAACTTTTTAAAAATAAAAATCGCTTCGAGGGGTATATGCCAAAATAAGCTGAATTTTTCATAACTTCTAATAATTTTGAGATAGTATTCACGAAAAAAATTTCTGTATAAATTATGAAGTGTCCGAACATTATGTGGTTAGGGCTCGTAGAAGTTATATTTAAAAAACTAATATGATAAGTAACATTTTATCACCCTGTATCTTTTAAACATACGCAATTAGGAAAAATATTTATTTAGATTTTCGTCTTATTTTGACTTGCTTAATCTGCTCCTAAATTTATGCCACTAAGTTTAGGGACACCTTGTATATCAAAAAGGTAGAACCTTCTAGTTTTGTGAATTATATACATATAAATAATTTCTATAATTATACATGGTGTCCCATAACTAACGGACAATACAGCAACTGTAGAAATAGAAGGTCAAAATTAACACAAATATTTCTTGGTAAAATATTATATGTATTTAAAAAACTATTCAATGTATCAAACTCAAAATTTGTACACAATAGTTTTTAAGGACGAGAAATACAAATTTGTCATAATTTTTTATGCCACTCCTAGAGGGCGCTAATAACACATGTCGAATTTGGTGAATTAATACTTACTATTTTTATCGCCCTCTAGGAGTGGCATAAAAAATTATGACAAATTTGTAATTCTCGTCCTTAAAAACTAGTAAACAAATTTTGAAATTGATACATTAAATAGTTTTCCAAATATAACAAATTTTCAAAAATCACCTCTCACATTTATCGCCCTGTTCTCGTTTATTATTAACCTCGTTATTAACATTTTACTAAGACATATTTGTGTTATAGTTATCGCGTTGAATGTTTCAAATTGAGTCATCAAATTCTGAATCAAGCACAGACATTACAATTATTGTTGTTTTCTTTTACGTATATAATCCAAGGAACCGCTAGGTTAACCGTATGTCGAGAAATCGGTTTTTGACATTCGACATTCATGACGCAATTTGAAACATTAGCCGCGACGACTATAATCGACCTATTTTGACTTCATATTTCTACAGTGCTGTATTGTCCATTAGTTATTAGACACCTTGTATAGATAGAAGAACAAAACCCGAATCTCTCCGCCTATTGGCGCCAAAGTTGACGTAGATAAATTACGCATAAATACCTACTATGCATTTAAACTACTGCAGTTGCCACTTCTTGCCGCATTTCCAAAGCGCCAAATTAATTTTATGTGTCGACATAAAATTAATTTTATAATTTTATTTTTACAGATAAAATTAATTCTATAATTTTTATTATGTAAAATCATAATAAAATTAAATTGTAACAAAAGTTCATTGCATTAATTTTATATGTGTACACATAAAATTAATTGTAAAATAAAAATGATTGTCCTGTTATAAATAAGAAATTGCAAAATAATAGAATAAAATAAAATAGTTTAAAAATCTTGTTTAAAATTTTATTAAATTTATGTTTAACATAATTTTATTTAATTTATATTATGTCAGACATGATTAAAATTATAAAAAATTATATGTATATATATTCCAAACTAATTGTAAAAAACCTACTTCAATTTTCTTTTAAATTTAAGTTTAAAAACTGAAACGGCGTGCCATATTATTTTATAAAAAAAAAACTATATTAAAAATTTCAAAAAACAAATGCTTATTTTCTTTGTAAACTTTTTTATTATGTCTTAAAATCATATTTAAGGTAGTTGTCGTGGTACAATATTGTCAAAAATTTTTAGATTATACGCACCGTAAAAGTATACAAGCTTGTAGCTAAGTGATTCATAATTTATTCGCAAGACTGTACCCTCCAGACTTTACCTTTACGTAATACTTTCAAATATTTTCATAAGTTTTAATCCGGCAACGTCGCTTATGCTCAACCAATAGATATATTGGATACTTAATCAGTGTTTGAATTTACTGCGGAAATAATATCTATACTCGCGTACACCGTTGCCAAGTGGTTTTTATCTGACACCAGTGATGTATACTTTTTACAAATTGTTGAACTTTAAACGGTTATTTATAAACAATTGGACGGTCAAAAATTTTTAATTATTTTTTTTTAAACTCAGCAAAAATACATTAAAAGACTGTTAGTTTTTTAAAAGCTTCTGACAGTTAGTTTTTTTGTTATAACTAAAAAACTGGTACAAAACTACAGAAAGCGTATACAATCCATGTTAAATATCCAAATTTTAATTGAATTTATCTCGGGTTATAGACGGTCAATCGACTTCAAATTTTAGGGATAATTGTATTGTCATGTCCTTAATATGTATACAAAAATTTAAAATTTTCTGATGGTATGCTTACAGCACGACAACTACCTTAAAACAATTTTACAAAGTTAAAATCACAAAACCTCTGCTGAATAAAGTTGTATCAATTATTAAATAAATTTTATTAACATGACTTGGAACAACTTAAAACAACGTTATAAAAATCCATTTCCACGGTCATTTTTTTTTAATTATAATTGTCTTTATTTAAAAAAAATTAGAGCCAGTATGAAAAAAACCCGAAACTTTTTTTCTGGTCCCAACCCAGCTATTTATTTTTTATCAAATTTTGTCGCACATTGTAATTTTTTATCTTAGGTGAGATTTCAACACGAAGTGTACCCAGAACACGCCAAACAAGCATCCAGACAGGTCCTCATAATCTCAGACATTGAAGTCAGAGATCGGCTGGAATCGAGCCGTATTAATAAGTTTTTATACCAATATACTAGTCAGGCTAAGCCAAAACAATCACACGCTCACATGGTAAGAAGTGACTTTTTAAAAAACTACGATTATTTAATAAAAAAATATTTTAGCTTGTTATAAAGGCGGTACACGAAAGACAAGACCAACATGTAAATTCGCAAGAGTGCTGTTTAAAAATTTCACTGTTACCTTTGAGACTGAATATTGATCAAGATTCCTTGCTGTTCTTGATTAATTTCTTTACCGAACTGGCTGTAGGGGATTCACCCAAACAAGGTAAAATACAAATACGCAGAATAAAATTTAAAAAACAAATAAAAACATTTAATTTGTAGAAGTGGCACAGTCCAAACATAACACACCAACTCACCAACCACCTGTTATGATGGTCAACGAGGCGAACAAGGAGGAAGTTCATCAACATTTGGATAAAATTATGAGCGAAAATTTCCTGATTCAACTCGAAGAACAAGATGATATTATGGAATCGGACGAAAATTTGCCTGAAAGCGTTTTGTGTACCGACGATTTTTCGCCAGTGTACTTTAGGTAAGCGAAAAATAATTATTGAAGTTTATACCCCATTTCCTAATTAACACAAACAACAAATAATAATATGGTTATATGGTTTTTACATTTTTTGATGTGTAAATATCTGCGGTACGGGATTCGTGGGAAATTGAGCGGAGGCGTAACAGTCTAAGAGCTGGCTTATTATTATTATTATTACAATTAATTTTTTTATTGCCTTTTTATTGTGATAAATAAGACTTATTACGTATAATTTTCTATATTTCGATACTAAAAAAATAAAGGGTTTTATTTTTAAATGCGTTTTAGATTTTTTGTAAACCTTTAGGAAAGTACGAGCTACCGCGATCTAGCCATGCTGCGCGACAAATAAATATTCATAACTTTTCCATATGCACGTTTATGAGGCTATTTTTTGGTATACCTACAAAGGAAAGCTTACTGAACAACTTGGTGCAAAAATTAACGCAAAGATCGCAAAATATTGTAGTTAAATTACTATTAGGGATGGCATGTCTAAAATAGAAAAAACCTCTTTTTTTTTTAAAAAAAAAACGGAAAAATTGGAAAATTTTGAGAAAAATTCACTATTGCATTTTTAAAATTTTATTGAACACTGATATCGAGAAAAAATTTAATTTCTGTCGCTAATTATAATCATATAATATTATGATTAAGTATAATAATTATTCTTTTTTTAATTCGGTAAGAATATTCCACAGGGCCGCAAAAAAACATTCGGTGCTGTATTAACAAAACTATCGTTTATAAAATTATAGTTTTGTAATTTAACTTTATAAATCATATATTATTTTGGGAATGGATATTATCAATGGACTCCCTTTTGCAAAAATTACCCAACCGACAGTATATTTAACGTTTACGTTTATTTTCTTAAATCAATTAAATTAATTTCAATGTTTAGTTTTATTTGTTTTATTTCTGTAATAAAGTATTGCTTTTAAATTAAAATAATGTTAGTGTTGTTTATTGTTATTTTTATTAAAATGTGTATATATTCCAAAAAATAACATTTTTTTACAAAAAAAAAAATTTACAAGGCTTGGAAAAAAACGGTTTTTTTTCAAATTTGTCGGGTATTTTCGAAAATTTAAAACATTATTTTAAAACAAAATGTAATGTAACTTTATATAACTAATTATATGAGGGTACTAAAATTAAAAAGAATTTTTTGACAAATGTTTTAAACAGTACTTATAAATAAACAATAAAACATTTTCAGTTCAAACCACTACATTAACTAAAAATATTACATTTTGTGTAGGTTTGGTTTATCGTTACATGTTTTAAACTTCCATATAAACATACTTAAAAAACTGTTTTAAACAAAAAATCGTTTTATTTTTTTTTTCAAAATAGGGCAAATTGGTAAATTAATAAAACGCATACTCGGTGTTAATGTTAAATTTGAAATTATACACCGTTTTAGTTTTAATGACCATTTGGTAATCTCTCAATTATTTTATTTAATTTTAATTTTCCGGATTTTAAAATTAAAGAAAACTTTCCCAGTTTACATTAATTAAAACTTAAAACTGAGCTAAAAGTTATTTATGAACATCCCGATTTCGGTATAAGTTTAGTGTACAACTTTTTCGGAAACTGCCAATTGTTACCGATGACAACTGTAGAAAGCAACCAATGTTTTTCTACATTAAAGAGAATAATTATTTTTTTTATGAATAATAGTCATAAGACGTCATTTTTTCCAACGAGGAAAAATTCGAAATATAAATTTTATTTGCCATGGATCGCAAATGTATCGGACTGGCTTATTATGGTCTGTATAAAAATATTAAGAATTTTTTAAGTAATACTATGGGACAAGAAAGACTGTCTGTGTTGGCAATGTTATGCATATAACGTTTATAAACAGTATTGTTAATTATAATAACCTTGTTATAAATCATGTTGCAAATGTTTAAACTAAAACAGTTAAAAAAAATTCTGTGGATGAATTAAATAAAAACCTTATTTTAAAAAAGGGTTATTTTTATATTTTCTATTTAGAAAACCAGAAATGTAGCATTTCACTATGAACCCCCTATAAAAGTAATCCGAATCTGGGTTTAACGAATAGAAAACAATAAGGTGGGTGAAAATATTGAAAATTTTCATATTTCCAGCCAAGATGTTTACACATCCTTTATGAGTACCATCTCGAGTGTTTTTTTTTTCTCGTTATTTTACATTTTTTGGTGGCAAACTGACAAAATTATCTTATTACAGAAAAGTGACATTTTCGCCTGACGTGCCCATCCAACTCGACTACCACGGTAAGTTCGTCGACATGTCGAAAGGCCCTCTGGCGGGAATCCTGATGGGCCTCGGCCAACTGAACAAATCCGAGCTAAGGTTGAAGCGGATCGACTACCGGCACGGCCTGCTCGGCATCGACAAGCTCGTCGCGCACCTGCTGCAAGAATGGTTGAACGAGATCAAGAAAAATCAAGTGCCCAGCCTGCTACGCGGTGTCGGGCCTATGCATTCTGTCGTCCAGCTGTGTAAGTACATATAAATTGTTTTTTTTTGTAAAACATGTTAAAGAACCCTTAACTGTGTGACGTGCAAAATATGTAACATAACTGGTGCCGTGGGTTAAAAATATCAACCCAGCAAAAAAGTAGTTACTAATTTTTTGTTGAATATTGACATTGCTTAAGTTTTTTGTTTATATTAAGAGTACAAATTCGTTAAAATACTAAAGTAATCATTTCAAACAAATTTAAGTGTCTGGTTTATGTCAAAAGACAAGTTGGGTAAAACACCCTAAACTCTTTTTTCTCTGTGACGCGAGTTCTGGGAAAAAAAGTTAAAATTATTAAAAAACCTTTAATGAGGAGAATTAGAAAAACGCAATAAATCCACCTTTAATAAATTTTAAGTAAATAGCGAAAATGTCCTAGATATGTCTTAAATATTTTTGAAAACAGTTTTGGGTAAAAGAACATAAATTAAATTAAATCAAGAAAGCTTATCACGAACTGTTTTTATAAAAACAATTATCTTGACTACAGAGTGCATCAAGTACCTATACTTCTATGTATGGGTATCTTTTTATTTCAAGGTCGGTTAAATAAGAAAAAAGTGGCGTAATTGTAAGTACTATGCTCCACACCTCAAAGACCCACCACGTGACCACGTAAGGAACGCAGTCTTTTGAAAATTTGGCATTTAAGGCTTTTCAGGTTATGTATCTGTCAAAGTATAGTCAATTAAAGAAATAATATTTATAGTGTTACCGCTTATGTTTGAGCGTTAAAAATTAATAAATCTTTATAGTATCACAATAACAATGGTTGGTTTAAGAATTTAGGAATATAAATACTGCATTTAATGAAATTTCAAAGTGTAAGGTGCAATATAAGTGATATTTTTGTGCATTGGGTCTACATTTCTTTATAAAATAGTTTTAACTAGACCGCATTTATTAAAAAACCTAACTTCTCTATTATGAAATAAGAATATCTGTATCAAAGGTAGGTTAATGTATTAGAAAAAATATCATCTAATTTTGTATTTTAAGGTTAGAAAAATCTATTTTGACCAAAATAAATAAGTGGATTATTTAGAAGAGTGTGTTAATATGGTCATAAATAAATATAGGTATACTAAATAATTGTTAAATATGGTTCAAATTAAATGGAAGCTTTTATACTTCTAATGACAAAACTTGTGCATACCTCTCGGCATACCTACTTTAAGTTAGATTATAAGAAAACAAACAATTTTTAGAGAAACTTGCAATGTGAAAATATTTAATACTCCCTTGACATGTGATTTATTAAAATTTTTAAAGTTATAATGATTTTTCGATGTAGATCAAGTTCAGTCAAAGCTTTTTAAGTTAAAAATTTTAACTATTTGTATTGACAAAACTTTATGTAGGTACACTTAAAGCTGGATAAGAAAAACTACCACATTTTTAAATACCATATTATACAGTCTTTTAAATAATCCAAAATACTTATTTATTTTGGTCAAAATAAATTTTTCTAACCTTAAAATTACAAAATTAGATGATATTTTTGTTATAATATATTAACCTACCTTTAATACAGGTATTCTTATTCCATAATAGAGAAGCTAGATTTTTTTTAATAAATGCTGTTTAGTTAAAATTATTTTATGGAGAAAACCAGATATTTGGACCAAATGCACAAAAATATTACTTATTTGGCACCATACATTTTAGAATTTCATTAAATACAGTATTTATATTCTTAAACCATCCATTGTTATCGTAATGTTATAAAGATTTATACATTTTTAACGCCTAAACATAATATTATTTCTTTCGTTGACTATACTTTGACAGATACATAACCTAAAAAGCCTTAAATGCCAAATTTTCAAAAGACTGCGTTCCGTACGTGGTCACGTGGTGGGACTTTGAGGGGTGGAGCATAGTACATTAAAATGGCATTTAAAGATTGGGAACAATCATAACAATTTAAAAAAACGTTATAACTTCGTTATTCCTGAAAATTTAAAAAAAGTAAAATTCACATGTAAACATACATATTTATCCACATTTTTATCCAATTCTAATTTTTTTCGCCTAGTATCTTTTGTTTTTCCTATGGCCGCCATATTGGAATTTTACATAAACTAATCGAATAAAGTTAAGCATATTAAGATATTTTGACCAAAACATAAATTTAACGATACAATTTTATACGCCCTGTATACTTTATTTTAATATTTGGTAATAAAAACGTAAAAATGAAAGAATCTTAGACAAAAAAGAACGAAGTCGAAAAAACGCATTTTAGGTATCAGCCGGTATCCAGTTTGATTTCAACTTTGTTCAAAAATATGCTTAACTTTTTTCGATCAGTTTAGTTAGATAAAAAAAAATTCTAAATTTTTTTTCAATTTATAAATTTCATGTTACTAGTCTTTTTCTAATTTAACCGACCTTGTAGCTCTTCAAATAAAAAATACCCATAGAACTTGGTGCACCCTGTATAGGTTAAACTATTTTTATTTTGGAACGATTTGTCTTTAAAATATATAAAAATTGACTTATAAGTATGTGATATTTTTGGTGAATTTTTTATGTACAAAAAAATAATACAAAAATACGAATTTTAGTTCAAGGTATCAGAGATTTGTTCTGGTTGCCAATCGAGCAATACCAAAAAGACGGACGAATTGTCCGCGGGCTTCAAAGAGGTGCTAATAGCTTTACCACTTCCACTGCTATGGCTGCTTTAGAGCTAACCTCTAGGATTATCCATTTGATTCAGGTAATAAAAATAAACTAAAAAAAATCATACCAGTATTATTAGTACAAGAAGCACAACTGGTTAAATAATAACTAGTATTTTAAGTAAGATTTAAGTAAAATAACGTTTTTTAAACTTGTTTTTTACCCAATTAATTCAATTAACTATGGACTTTATTGTTAAATATTTGATTTTATTGTTGTCAATTAAAACTCTTTAAATAACCTAAGTTTTGTTCAATTAAAAAGTTTCTTATTTTAGAAGTTACGTTATATTTACTTTTAGTTAAGGTTAAATAGTTATTTTTGAGATATATTTTAGTTTGATTTAACTTTTGATATAATTTGGTAAATTGGTAATGCGCCATATTAGTTGTTCCCCATTTAAAAGAAGAGACGCCATTAATTATGATTTATCTGTTTATTAGAAAAGTGACACTGAGTGATCTTTTAAATACACAATGACTAGTTATGGCGTTTTAGTCATGTGCTGAACTGAGCAACAGGTTTTTAATTATGGGCTAAATTTATTTTTATGCTAGTTGACAGTGGTCAAATGTCATGCAATCGTTAAAATAAAGTGCCATTCTTGTGAAATAATAATGTGGAAATTTTGTACTGACCTTTTGATTTTACGGGCAGTAAACTAGATTTAACTGAAAGCATTAAAAATTTTGAAGTGCCCCTAAAATATTATCTTCACTTTCACTATGAAAAACTGCTTCTATATTATCATTTAAATGGTTGTTGGTCCATTTTTATGGGATAAATTTCAGTTTACACATACTTGACATTTTGACTGGCGCGCCAGTAATAAAGATTCTTAAGTTATAAATTGGTACCCGAGTTACTCTATTTTTTTATAGATGTCGCTTTAGACAAATATTTAATTTAAATAATTTTAAGATAATAATAATTATTTGTCGTAGAAAAAGTATAGTATGCAACTTTTCTAGAAATTCGTGACTAAAATGGCGTTTATCAAACTTGATACCGTAAATACGGGTGACTTTAACCCATTTATGAAAAATCTTTTCGCGCTCGATAAAATTAACATTTATAGTTTGTTGGTCTAAACCTGTCAATTGAGCGATTCTATTGAGTTTATATTACAGGAAAATCAGTGTTTTCAGAACGGGATTTATTACACTTAAAAATTGTATATATCGTATCAGTGCAAAACTCTAGAAATACACGCGTTAAAATTTCTATATTATGCGTAATCCATTGGAATGATGATCCTTGGTTAACTACAGGTCGATTCTTTATTTTTTTTATTGGTAATCCCTTGCAATAGATATATGTCGCTGCTAACACGTGTCTAATAAAAATAAAATATAATATTACATTCATTTTATACTGAAAAAACACTGTGAGACAAAGTAACCCGCAACCAGGAGCCAAAGCCACCCGTGTTTACGGTACATAATATACTATTTAGTTTTAATAGTATTTTAAATTAATTTTACACGAAATTAAAATTATTATTATTACTATTTTTAAAGTATAGCTATATTTTAAAAATAGAATTATCATGTGCTACTTTATCAGGAAATTAAATGCTCCATTGGTTTTTCTGTTATAGCTAAAGCTTTAATGAATAACAATTAAGATAATATCTAAATATTATTTAAGATGTTAATATTTAGAGACATTTTATTTCAAAGATCTGTAAACAAGTCATATGAGTACATTAGATGCAAAACTCGGTTATGGCAAATTTTTAAAAATATATATTTTATCCTATTTATGTACATTACAGCATGCCTAAGTAAAACAGATGTTTGTATTAAATTACAAATTACAAATTTTGTAGAATAAAATACATTTAAAAACTTAAAGCACATGCAAAACTGGGTATTTGTTTCTTCCTGTCGGATGCAAAACTCGTCTACAATTTTTGCATTTTTTTTTCATAATGATCTTATGAGCGGTTTTTCATGTTTTTCTTAAAATCACTTATTCCTGCAAATACAGAGTTGTGCATCTAATGTATATATATATAGTTCATTCATTCATTTTCATACTTTAATTCTAAGTTTACTAGAGTTAACAAAGTAGTTAAAAAGGGTAAAATAAACCTTAAATTACCAAATATTAAAGCAATTTTAAACAAAAAGTTAATCTAATTATAATTTAATTCCTCATTTTGTACAAAATAACGTTAATTTAACGTTATACTATATATACTGGTACAATATTGACGTTAATTTAACCAGCTGTGCCACTTGGTGTATTATAAAATGTATATTTAATAATAATGAAATTTATTTGACACTATTTTATTTAGCTTACCGCCGAAACTGCCTATGATATGCTTTCGCCTGGACCTAGTGTCAGAAGGATTCACAATAAACAAAAAGGACGTAAAAAGCGTTTTAATCAACCTCAGGACATTAGAGAGGGCATGACAAATGCCTATCATTTGGTTAAAGAGGTAGGCATTGTTAACTAATACAAAATAGTTTATTGTGTCTTTTTGTGTTAAGCTCAAAGTTTGATAGATCAAAGCACAAAAAGACTTGGGTCAGAATTTTTTTCCAAGAACAAAATATGATTTTTGTAGGGTATTGGTGAGACGGCCGACAACATAGTGCAAGTAGCTTCCCACGAGCATGAACAAAAAGGTTACAGTGGTGCCGTCGGCGGGGTGCTTCGCCAAATTCCCCCGACAATTTTAAAACCGATCATTCTCGCCTCGGAGGCTACCAGCAACCTGATAGATGGCGCGCGCAGCCAATTGGAGCCGGACGCGCGCCGAGAGGCCAATCAAAAATGGAGAACCAACGAAGGATAATAATATTTTTAATATGTGATAAACTGACTGCGGTTTTGTGATTCGTTTTTTAAATTTATAAGTTTTATAAATAAGAAATACTGTAATATAACTATTATTGGAGATTTTGTATTTATTTAATCGGTTTTAATAATTGATGTTCCAATAAATAAAGAACAACACCGATGTGCTTTATTTCATCTTTTATTTATTATAGTTCTTGCTGAAATGTTAGAATGGACCATATTGAATTTTCCGCATAAAAATGCGCTGGTATTTTTTAAAATATTTCTCAATATGACATTTTGTGAGAAATAAAAGGAATATACAGGGTGGTCCAAAAGTAATGGGACACAGTTACTTCCAAGTCGAAATAATTCGATTTATGCAAAATCCATAATTTGATAACCAAGATAGCTATCTAGATGGTGCCAAATTGACACCAAAACTCTAAAAATAAATGGTTAAGGATTTATTAAAAATGTATTGTGGGAAAGTTTACCATTTAATAGATAATCCTTACACCATTTTCCTCTAAAGTTTACACATGGTGTAAATAACTTTTTTGTAAATAAAAAAAATCGGTTGTATTTTTAAATAATGTTTATTTGGTAATTTATTTTTTTTGTAATGACTTGAAAAAATAATAAAGTGGCTGCCGCCAGAGTCGATTTACACTTGGGCGCGCTTTAGAGCATTTTCTATTACTTTTCTTATTAAGACATTTTCCAAAATTCTAAAGTCTAAAAACAGCTTTAAAGCCCAAAATAGAGCTTAAAAGTTTATTTAAGCTTTAGAATCAAATGTCACAATTTCTTATGTAACTTCAGTTTGATCATGATCATGGTTTTTGCTAGAATAAGCACCACGAGTTTTTTCAGATTTTTTTAAAAATATTTAGAGGACAGTAAATCAATTTTTATTAGGAATAGGCTCAGTACCTACATAGTTCATTTTTAAAAAACAAATTTTTAAAAATCCAAAAACCATTATAATCTTTTATAATTAACATGATTTGACTATAGTCAATGCAATGGGAGTAAAATATATTTTACTCCCATTGCACTAAAAAAACTTGGCATGTTTTTAAACCAAAATATATCAAATTTATCAGTTGATTGTGTTTTAACGCTACCTAAATTGGGGAAAAATGGCTGAAACATGGCGAAACTTGCAGTAAATATTTTCGTTTTGATAGCCAACATACCACGTGTCGTAAAGTTTTTTTATGTAGGTTATTTTTTTCAATTAAGAATGAAAGTGACGTAAAACTTACAAAACCAATATTTTAATAAACAATTTTGTATAATACAGGGTGTCTGAAAAATGGCCGAGCAACGGTTAAAGGTTAAAATAACAGGCTTAAACTGTAAACAGAGCCTTTTCCTCATAAAAAAGCGACTTCAAAATATTTTTTAAAAATTTGATAAAACTTATGATGACCTTTCCAGTAAAAATACACCTAATTACACTTTAGTGTTTAATAAAAATAATATACATGAGTAAAAGTGGAAACCCTGTGTAGGCTCCAAGTTATTGATGAAATTTTAAAGGATACAATATTAATATTTCAAATAAATAAAATTGTTAGCTTTGAAATATAAAATTCGTCAAGGAAACCTAAACTACATATACAGGGTGTCCCAGATATGAGGCGCCGTTTGAGTCAAAATAGAAGTGTAGAAAATAAATATATATCTCTCACAAAATATAGAATTTAACGGAAAATGTATAGAAAACACAAAATATGTATATAAAATATAACAAAACATATAAAATACCTATAACAAAACAAATAAAATCCAACAAAACATATAATACACCTGTAACCAAACAAATAAAATCAAACAAAACATAACGAAAAAAAATAAAATTCAACAAAATATATAATATACCTATAATAAAACAAATAAAATCCAAGCTCCTTAACGTATTAGAACAGCGGAAAATAAAGAACCTATTTTTAATGCCTTTGATGCAAATAGTGGGAAGAGCATAAGGGAGTGCATGCAGCCGGAAGATAATCCCGCTAGAGTGGAATTCTGTAGTGGTTGCTAGAGATTTTGGCTCGGTGGTACAGAACTAGTTGTTTAATTTTTGCTTTAAAATATTGGCGTCCTGCATACTTCTTGAAGTATGACATTTATTTTTGAAAGGTTATTAAACACAGTTGGACAAAAGATTTTTAAAAGTTTTAAGACAACAATGTTCTATCGTCTCCTAGCAATTTTTATAGCTCCTACGTTTAACCTTTATAATCTGTGGTTTAACCCATAGACAAGTGATTGGTTGTGTGGGCGGGGGGTTAACCTAGGTAGGCGAGAGGTTAACCTAGGTAGGCGAGAGCTTTCGGTATTGGCTGCCGCTTTTTCTTTCTTATTTGATTACACTATTAACTAGATTTTTTTTATTTTTAAATTTGGCATGTCCATGCTATTAGCACGCCCCTTTTTCTCTTTGGCGCGAGTTCTGGATAGCAACATAATGATTATTGATTAAATAAAAACAAATTTAATTTAATCATTTAAAAGAAATTTCACTTTAGCTAGATATAAAGTAAAAGTGCACGTCTTTCATTCTATTGGTTTTAATACCCACCACTAAACAGAACTAGTTTATTTGTATTGTTTGATCAATATATTGAATACAATACCACTCACTAACTTGATACTTCCATTACAAACTTGACATCACAGATCATAAACGTAACCAAAAAAATCGTTATTATGTCCGAATTGTCACTAAAAGAAGAAGAAAGCCCATTGATCAACACCCCATCAGCGGATAATTTTTACGGTGATGACAATGACCAGGGTGACAATGACGATGAAGACATCAATGCTGAGGAGGAAGAAGAAAACTCGGAGGAACACGAGTCAGAGGAACATGAGCCGGAAGAAATGCAAGAATATTTAGACACCATCGACCTTAACCAGCAGGAAGAAGAAGACGAACCATACGTGTTCTCTATCTTCGATATCCTCGACAAACCCCGGATTCTGCCGGATCCGGTCGATTTAACATTCGAGCATTTGAAGAAAATCGAGGAAGAACTGGGTTTGATAAAGTTGTGTTGGCCCAAAATTGAGAGTTTGGAGTTTCCCAAGGCGTATTTAGAGAATGTGCAGAAGGAAAAGGTTCTGTTGGCTTATACAGAGAATTTTCGAAGACAGTTTTTTCTCCAATTTCCCAATAGGAAACCGCTGTTTTTGGCTGCTGTTAACGAATGTGGAATGCAAGTAAGTGGTTTATTATAAAATTACCTGAATTAAATTATTTAAGTATTATAATGTCAAATTAATTACACCACACATTTTATATTTTAATTACCTACTTTGATTTACATAAAAACTAACATATTTTTTGTTAAAATTTTTTATGCATTTTTATAGAAATTATTATAATGTCCAATTAATAATACCACAGATTTTATAATATTTTAATTACTTTGATTAGGGTCATTCCGTCGTTTCGCGTTCGGGTTACATTAAATGTTGAACAAATTTTGTTCAACCAAAGTCTAAATTTTTATGTATTTTGAAATAACATTTTTATGTATTTTGAAATAACATTTTAGCAATTAAAGTTCCTTATTCTCTACGTTTTTAGTTTTATCTAAATTGTAAAATTAGTACAGTTAGCATAATATGCTATATATATTATAGGATAACGATTTTATAAGTCAAAAAGTGTGCGTTTCGGGTGTTTCACGATTCTGCCTCTATATCCTGATCTTGTTACATTTATTTAAAATTCAGCGAATTTTCTTAGGGAAACATTCCTAAAAATTACAGGCCTCCAAAAGTATAATATTTACTAACCATTTACCACATAATCACTATCACAAAATTTGTGATAGTGATTATTTTTTTATAAAATTTTACTATGTTTCGGATGTTACCATGGTTCTGTTTTGGGTGTTACAAGTACAAAAATTTAACACATAGGGTTAAGTGGAAGAGCAGTGAACTACCTAGTGTAGGGTACTGAACTTCGCCTTTTGTTTGTAATAAGTTTTTTACAATCAATAAAGACATTATTATTATTATTATTATTATTATTATTATTATTATTATTATTATTATTATTATTATTATTATTATTATTATTATTATTATTATTATTATTATTATTATATGGACAAAATCGATGTTTTATTAGTCTCTAGGTACTACAAAATAAGTTAGTAACAAATAAACATAAATAGAATGAATTCTCCTTAAACATAACTTAAGCAGCTTCGGGTACGATTGATAAATCGGCAAAAAGGGTAAAATCGTTATTATTGCCAAAAATCGGGAGAAACATAATTATTGACGAAAATCTAAGTATTCGGTATTTTGGTAGGTCCGTTGCCATTTAGGTTTCGGGTGTTACAGTTTTGAATCAAGAAAGTCTCATGCTCAGATATTAGCTAGTATTTTAAATCATTACCACCATAACGTTACTTTTACTAAATATTGTTACACTAATTAATCTGTAAGTTATAATAATAAAACAATTACATGATTTTTCGTTTCGGGTGTTACAGTGGCAAAGAATGAAGAAAACACACTTATAACGGGATAATTATCAATTTTTCGGGACTGTAACGCAATCCACCAATACTACGATAAATAATCTCAAATCACAACGTGGCAAAACGATTGACAGTTTTTTTTCGTATTTCCAATAGTAGAGGCACAATGGCCATTCAGCCAGTTCACTTTAGTACATGTTTTAAAGACTAATTACTTAAAAGTTACGCGTTTCTTCTAGTTTTTTTTGTCACACATTATGATTTGGAATGTTTTCTTTCAAAATTCATCAGATTTAATGTGAAAAGAACATATTTATTTTTTCACCCTTAGTATCGTTTGTCATGGAATGACCCATTTACATAAAAACTAACATATTTTTGATATTAAAATTTTTGATGCATTTTTATAGAAAATGGTTTGTACCACGATTAGACCAACTTTAGTCCCTTTCCCAGAAATTGACACTTGGCAAAAATGTGCATCCTTTGCTGCTGATTATTTTGAATATGAATGTTTGGAAGAACCTACGTTATTGGTAAGTGATTTTTTACTAATATTTTTTTTAAGAGTTTTAATTTTTAATACTGAGGATGTAGGTATACGATATTGTTATTTTGAAAAACACTGATCTTTAACAATTGTTGTCTTTAAAGACTCTTTAAATTGATAATTTTTGAAAAATCTAAATTTTCTTTATCTGGATCTCCGACAACCCCTTTACTGTAAAGTTGTTCTTCGTAGTAACGAAATTGAAGGTGCTCCTTAACGTATTAGAACAGCGGAAAATAAAAAAGCTCTTTTCAATGCCTTTGATGCAAATAGAGCGTAAGGGAAGTTGCATGCGAATTTCCCGTTCACGGGTTTGTCATCTTCATTGCCATCAGCACGCCCCACACAGTGTGATTTTTTGCCAATCTAGCTGATAAAAAATGATGGGTAGTAAAATTATTTTTGTTTAATATATTTACTTTTAACATCATTTAAATACATATTTACAATTAACATCATATATATATTATTTGTGTAAATTTTTTCCCTTAATTTTTAAATTTAACTTATTATTACAATTAGAAATTTAACTTCTGACAACGTTTCGGTACAATCTCATGTACCATCTTCAGGTCTTATCTGCTGGGCTGCTGTTGCTTCTCTGCTGCGAGTTATACATGGACTCCACGTGTTGATAAAAAACTTCAAAATTTTCTTCTCTCAAAATTGACATCGGAACAATAATCACAATAATAGAAACTGACGATAGCACAATGACATAATATGACATATAATGGCGTTTGAAGAATTTTTAACTTTTTTCCTTTTTTTCGGGTTAATAATAAAAATTGTATATTTTTATATAAGCTATAATTTTGCTACATAAATTTATCAAAAAAGTATAATAAATTGCAACTTGTGTTCGAAAAAGCAATAAAAAATGACTTTCTACGATATTTTGCTCAAAAACTCAATTAAGATGTGATTTTTAAGGTATACTGTGTTAAAAAAATTTGTTGCTAAAAAATTATGTCGCTATCTTCCATTACGAAAATCATTAATATACGGTTGCAACTTTTCCACTTATCAGTGACCTTACTTGTAAAATTAGAGACTGCTTTGCTGACTTCAGCCACTTTTGAACAATCTTCACAATATTTAAATTTAATTTATTTATCACAAATGAAAAAAAAACAGTGGTGCACTTATTTTCGTCTTTGGAACTACACTGCGCGTCAAAATTAACGCATAATGAGTAAAAAAATTCCAACTCCAAAAGGCCTTTACCAATATTTATGAAATTTTCGAAATTTTCGTTTTGCTCTAGGACGTCTAGGATTTAAAATAATTGCGTAATAAAATGCTTGGCTCTATTACCTCAAAATGTAGGTTTTTTGTTAATATTTTAATTATTTATTAAATTATTTTTCTTTAAATTTATCTTGATTGTACTAGAGTAATCGGTATATGTCAAATAGATACTAGATAAAATTATAATGTATTTTATGTAAAAAATAACCAGTATTTGACATTTTATTTTAATTGAGTTTCGGTATGAAAATTATCTTCGCCAATTAAAATCCAGTCAATTTAGACCTAAAAACTATTAAAAATACGGTTTGCTGACGGATAAAAAGGAAGGAATTAAAATGCCAAAATTGGTGAATATTTTTCTATTTACCTTTTCCACAGTAACGGATGTATTATTGTATAGAAAAATGACAAAGTGACACAAAAATGACTTAATTTATTTACTCGTGGAATTTTCTCAACAAATACCACTCGAAGTTTGATTGAGCAGGACATTTTTTCGACTTTTAACTCAAACTTGGTGGTTTGTTAATTTGACTCTAAGAAATTTGGTCAAATTAACACCAATTCTTTGAAAAGCGGAGAACATTTCTTCAATGAATAGACGCCAATTTTCGACCTGATATGATAAGATTTAATAAATTTAAGATTGGTTATTAAATTTTTGGCTACTTTAGGCGTGATGTGAATAAAAAAATTTCAAATAATTGTCGAAATATACCGAAATCCGTTTACTTTGGTGCCTTTTCAATTTAGTAATTAAAAAAACGACACAAAAATTTCAAAAAATGATACTTTTTACAAAAAAATACATTAGAATTTTAGTTTTAATATTTAAAATGCCATTCCTTTGGTCTAAATATTTTCTATGAGGGATATAATACTACTACTGCTACAATGGAACAAAAAATTCAAAATATAAATATTTTTTATTTGATATATAATACCTAATATATACCTATCTACCGATGACTTTGTATGAAGTCCTGTATATTTTTGATAAAAAAGGTCAAAAATATACAGAAACTTGTTACATCCATAATAGATTTAAGGCAAAATAATTTAATTTATTAAATTATTTTGCCTTTAATCTATTTTATAAGTAATCAAAATATTAACGGGAAAACTTACATTTTAAGATAATTGGACCATAGACATTAGACAAGGGATAGGTTGGGTGGGCGGGGGAATTGGACATTGGATCATTTTATTAGGCAATTCGAATCCTAGACGTCATGGAGCAAAACGAGTGGCATTTTTTAAATCAGCAGCCCAAAATTGGGTAATATAGGTGGGTGTACTCAATGTTAGTAATTCGAACTATCACACAGTGGTCTGAGAGGCAAATTTACGCGGCAAAAATCCAATTTTTAAAACACTTTATTAACGCATTTTGATGCCTCTTTATTGTTCGTAACAGATTATTACCTAATATTTTAAACTGCGAAGTAGAATTTACTTCGTATGCGTTGCGTTGTAACAAATACATGAAAAGATTGTCAAAAATACTCTTACTTTCGGAATCTTGTCTTTTTCGTGTAAAACTGTGTTGCGTAAATATAGTAGTGAAAATTAGTGTCAAAAATTTATAGTAGGGATAAAGTTGAGTACAAATACAACTTAAAAATGTCTTTTTTGTATGTTTTGCCAAAAATATAGCGTTTTTTAACCTTCAAATTCTCAAGTTTTGTAATTACAAATATTAAATGGAATATAAGTAAAAATTTATAATTACTTGCCGAGAACCACATAGTGCATTCGAAAATATAAACCTCCAGCTTCGACTTTATAAAAATTCATCTGCCTTTATGCGCGTTATGCAAAAATGAAAAATGGCCGACAAATTACCGCTAATCTGGTCATAAAAGTAATACATTTTTTAAATTTGACAATAATTATTGCATTTAAGAATGGTAATA